ATTCTCTGCTAAAGTTCCATTAAGAGTTGAAGAATCTGAAATGTGGACCACTCACAGTTGATCCTTGTCACCTGCAGTTGGAAAAAACCAAAGCACAGAACAGCTTTGGCAGCTTTCTGCCAAGGTGCCATGCAAGCAGAAGATGGTGTGTTCTCTCAATGAAGTGTTGTTGTAGTGTTAGGGAGGGTATTTGTGTCCAACCATGGTAGCTGTAAACTTGATTTTTGAGTGGAATGGCAAATACTTGAGAAAATTCAGTGCTGGTATTTCTCATCCTTCCTGCCTGTTTCCATCTTGTAAGTAGCAGTGAGTGGTTTATGTTCATCCCAGAAAAGGACAAAGTGCCCTTCTTGTGTGAGAATCAGAGGTGTAGAGCAGTAAACACCAGCTTGCTCGGGTATTTGGTAAGAAGGCTGTTTGTCTCTATCCTGTGCTTTCTCACTGTCTTACCAGCTCCTGTGACCAGAGCCCAACATGGGAGGAGATGCTTTTTCTAAGCCACACACAGAATAGGAAACATATCTCTGTTATGCAGGCTAACTCAATATAATCAAGTAGCTCTACTAAAATCAGCAGAATTTACTCTCTATAATTGTATTTTTAAAGGATGAGTTCTTCAAAAGGAGAGTCTGGATTTTGTGCCTGTCTAGTCTTAGTTAAACATGGATTGCCAGGGTTCTTTGAACTACCTCAGAATTAAAGCAACAAGATTCTGTCTTCTGGAAGGAGGACCAGAGTGGAAGGAAACTTTCCAGTTTGTGTTGCATATAATTTTTCCTCATTAAGTGTTTGCTAAAAGAAACCTTTAATAATAGGCCTAAATAGTCCAGTCTTAACAGCACTAGGTTGTTTGCTTTTGAATTCCTCTGTCATGAGTAGTTCCTGGAGCCATCAGTAAGTTGGGTTTTTTCTAGGAAAGAAGTGGGTATATTTTATATTTAATTCTCCAACAACCTGCAACTTTATTGGATAAGATAACTTTCGTCTAGATTATGCAGGAATAAACCTGCAATAAACCTTGCTACTTTTTTAAGTGGCTTTTAAAAGGTGTTCAAGTACTGCTCTGACCTTGGAGTTCTTGTGTGTTGCAGCTGCTCTTTCTTGTCTTTGTACTCTTTCTGTCGCTCATTAATGATGGAAGAAGTTTTGACATCTTAAATCTGTTGGTTTAGTGTCAGGTGTTGAAGTTTTAGCAAACCTTCTCTTTTGATGCTCTTTAACATCCTTCTCAAAGATTACTGCTCAGCTTCTAGGAAGGCACACTTGGTGTATTTGATGATTTAAATGTCTGTAAAAGCCAGCTGTCCTCCTTCAGAAGCTTTGTAAGAGTACCCCATCCATTCCAAAACAAACATCTTGATAAGAGCATGTGCATTTAATCATGCAAGACTGTTTTACCTTAGAAACTGTATAAATGTAAATCAACTCCTACTGGTGAGATGTTTATTTAGAACATGAGCGTGATGCTCCAGAGCAATTGCAACTGTTCCTCTTGGATTTTGCAGTGTTTTTGTAGTAAAGGCAATCTGATGTGTCCATTTCTGAATTGGGAAACACACCTTACCCCTTGCCTTTCCCCACCTATCCATGTCTAAAGCTTTGAAGTTTTCAGATCACAGGAACGATCAGTACCTGGCTGTGGGCACCAAGTATTTGCACAGGTAGTTGTGTCTTACAGAGATCAGGTCTAAAAGGACACAGGCTGTTTTTCAGAATATCTTGAATATCTTTCAAGCTCTAGTTTGGGTGATTTATGCAAATCAGGAGCAAATCAAATAGCCAATTAATCCTGTAGAATACTCTGATCCTTTACAGCAAGGTCAGCTCTGAGGTCTGCCTTGTCCTTTGTTCATCAAGTCACTTGAGGTTTTTGTGATCTTCTTAAGAGAAAAGTAGGTAGTTATAAAAGGTTTGCCTGTTCTTTTCCTTCAGATATAAATAACTTGTAGATAACTCCAAAAAAAGCATGAACAGCTTTTTGCTCTAGCTGTTACTAGTTTATAATGAACTAATCAGTTGGGTTTTTCAGTCAAACAGTTGTACAAGAGAATCACTTTAATTGAATTACAAGACATTATGGTGTTAAGCCATATCTAACAGATTCCTGGACTTAATGTACCAGGAAATGAAGGATGGTTATTAACCTACAGGTTATGGAGTGGTGTTCTTACAGCTAAAGCCTTGTCTGGTCTGCATGTTCAGCACATAAAACACCCTTATAGGATGGTTCAGCATTGCACATACACTTCTGAGGGCACCAGAGCTGGTACAGTGCTTTGGTTTTAATTCTAGTAAAAAAGGGTTTCTTGTGCTGTGAGTTTGCAAAGTGAGAAAGCTGCCATTAGTCTTGATCTGATTTCTTTTGTAAGGAATTTTAGTGCTGAGCCCCTGTAAAAACTGCATCCAAACCTTGAAGGATTTTTAATAATGTTACAGTAAAAACTTCCTTTTTCTTACTGAGGAACACATCCTAAAAAAACCAAGAAGCCAGTTCATTAGAAGGCCCTTGTGATTAAAGCAGCCTTGTGTGCTTGCTTTGTTTTATCCAGTCTAAAGTTGCCTGTTGGAATTCAGTACAAATGCAACTTGCAGTTTGGTAGTTGGGATTGTGGGAAGCATCATATATCTTGTATTTCACCAGTTTAACAAGTAAAGGAAATAACTAAATGGAGAAAATAGTTCTCTCTTTTCTTCAGCAATATAAAAGTAAGTTGATGTGCAAATTGTGTCCTCTCACCCCTTATGGTTTAGCTTGTCCTAGTCATTTACCAAAATGAGCTCCTCCTTTTAAGGAAGATTCTTTATTATTTGTCAGTATCTCAGTGCTTTAATTGCTTTTTAGGAGACATTGCCGTAGGCTTGAGGAGTAAATTGAGTGTGCACTATTTTAATAACTTATTGTCATACTGGTTGGATGCAATTAAACAAGCATTTTATAGTTTTTGCCTTCAAAATCGTTATGTATTGGCAAGTCCAGGCACTCAATAATAGTTCTGCTGCTAATTTGTCCTTCAGTTCCTTTGCAGTGTTTGGTTCTGAATGGACGATAGAGCCTTTCCTGAGCTTCAGACATGTAAAACTTTGGAGTTTGCAGTGCTTGCTGGAGAGTGGATCTTGGCTAGTCCAGGATCACACCATTTCTCTGGCAAAGTCTCTGGGTCAGGTTCTGCTAACACCTGTTTGCCTGTCCAGAACATGCTCAGGAGATGACAGTGGTGAGAACTGCAAACCAGCACTGAACAGGGCTCACGGAAGTACCAGTGCCACTGTAGGTCATTCTCTGAGGGCTGACAGTGTTCAAGGAGGCACTTTCCTCAGGCCTTTTATATCTTCAGCTAGTCACTGCTTACAGCAAGGGTCATGGCAGTGGACCTTGTTTTTTGAGCACAGTAGGGTCCACTTCACTGTGACAGACCAGCTTCAAGGAAAACCTCTGGGTAGACTGGAAACCTCAGTGCTTTTCTTCTTTGAAGTCACTACCCAGTGCAGAAATGAGGAGGTAGCCTGCACCATCCAGAGAATCTTGTTGACTCTCTGAGACAAGACTGACAGGAAAAAGAAAATTGTTTTGCAAATTGCAACCATCCCTTTGTGTTCTTTTTAATCTGGAGCGTTGCTTGTCATAGTAAGAAATTTCTGTATTTATTTAAAGCTACAGAAAGCTTTCAGCCAATATATTTTACTTTTAAAGTAGGCTAAAAGTGCCCACAGATGGCTGAAGCATCTTGGGTGTCAGGTGATCGTTGGTTGCACCATCACAGTTCAGTATTAAAGTGCCCAGGCAGTACATTGCTCTGAGTGTTCCTGCTTTACAGACTGTGTTTTGACTTGTCTCCAGATGTACATTGTGAGGTCATGAGGCAAACTGTAATCTCCCAGGAATTCTTCTGACCTCAGTAGCAAGTCAGCAATAAGGATTGCCAGACATGCCTTCTAAGAAAAAAAAAATGGTTTGAAGTTCTAATCTTCTGTTGCTTGGTGAACAGCTCCTGTAGGAAGGCTGACACCTGTCCAAGAAATTTGAATCTTAATTTAGGTAAGGGAGATATTTTAATGGAATTGTTTTTCTTCACAGGAGTCTGTAACAGACTACACTACACCTTCTTCTCATCCTAACACAGTGGCTACTAGCAGTACAAAAATGGAGGAGACTTTGGTGACGAACGTAAGTCTATTGCAGTGATCATCTTGACTTTGAAGACAGGAAAATATTTTCACACTTCTTTAAAGCACCAAAAAGTGCCTTCAGTAAACAAGTCAACATGTTCCTTTCATGTGAACTAGCTCTGTGTTACCCAGTAATCTTACTCTGAAGGACATTTGGTTTGATTAGTACCTGCTCATGAATTCTTCGGGTATTTTCTTGTCTTTTGAACTATCACAGTGAGCTAAAGAGCACAGAAAGTGGAGATGTTCATAGGGACAATTCTAAAAAAGCAAAGACAGGCATAATAAGGGAGTGTGTTCTTGGCAGCAGTTGGGACTTGACCCCTGGTACCAGTAGCAAAGTTCTGTACCTGAGGTTGAAAAAAGGCTTTTACAAAGAAAGCAGTTTTGAACTGTAGCCTGAAATCACAACAACTGCATAGAATGGTTTGTGAAAGCAGACAGGAGGCTTTCAGGTGTTCAGTTGCCGTGGAGGTGAGATGTTTGCAGTCCTCAAAGCCAGTGATCCTGACTATGTGAGTGTGGCACAGTGATTGAGAGAAGCAGCTGGGTTGTGACTTGAGTGTGCTGGGACATCAGGGAGCTTGGATCTCGTGATTTTTGCTGTTAGAGTAGCAGAAATAGAATTAGCTGAGAGTCACATTGATTGGGGAAAGAAGAATCATACAGTAGGATCTTAGTTTTTTATGAGGATGTCTTGTGAATTCCATCTAAAAATGCTTTTCAGCTTACTGCAGCATCATTTTGAAGCATTACTGGTTGAACTTCTTATTCTTCTGCTGGCTTTTGTGGTAGTGTTGTGGTTTGTGCCTTTGGTGGTTAGTTTGGAAGACCGAATTCTTTTGTGTTAATGATATCCTGTCCCTGTGGATGTGGGAGTTGAATTTCTAACACAGGAATTAGGGGCTCCTGGCCACAAAGGATCTGTGCCATCCCCTGCTTCAAAGCTTCAGTATCTGTCTTTTGGATTAGCCTTATCTCATCCAGTAGAAGTCCATTAGCTGTGCTATGAATGGAGAAAGGAATGGCTAGAAGTAATAGACTGGCCACTGCAGTATTTTCGATGCATTTCCTTTGAACCTTCTAGGAAGTGCATCGGTGTTTTCATAGGCAAAGATAGCAATAGCATTATGGCAAGTTTATTTCCCCAAGTATCACATCTTTCATCTTTTGAAAGAGAAAATAACTGAGTTCAGTTATTGGATGGCAAATCTGGTTTAGTTTGTTTCATGGTCCTATGACTTTGCAGGTCTATAAAAGCTTCCTCTTTTCGCAAACTACATCTCAGAATTCAAGGTCCTGAAGCCCCATGTACTGTATTGGTACAAAAAAGGACAGATTTGGCTTGGGGAGAATTTTTGCATATCAGTAAACTGAAATGGTACTGGAAGTTAAATCCCAAAACAGACAATTGGTGATTGTTTATGCAGAGGACATGGACACCTTAGAACCTTAGTCTTCAGCCTCTTAAAAGAGATGAGAAGCATCTTGGCACCTACTGAATGGCCTTTCCCTGCCTACCAAATTTTCACCTTATTTTATCAGAATCTCCCTGCCAAATGCTCAAGCCTTGAAGAAATTGTAGCTCACTTGATAAAGCTTGAGCTTTGCTTTCTGGGGCTTTTCTAGTAGACGTAGTTAGAATGTGATGTGTGTTGCCTGCCTTTCAGGTGCCCCTGCCCCACACCCTTCCCCTCCCTAGGAGGGAGACTTTACAACAGAGCTCCAGCCTAACTCCAGTTTCTCCCGCTACCGTCGACCTCACCCTCAAGGTATGTACCACATCCCTCTAAGGGTCGTTTTCTTGCATGCAGGGGAAAAAGTTAATGGAGAACTTGCTGGTGAACCTTTTTTTAGAGCCTTCCTTTGTTTCCTCTGCTGAACTGCTTTTGCATATAAATGGATGGCTGAAACACGAGACTCTATCAAAAGATGCATTTAAATTATAAATTTCTAACCCCGTTTTGCATTAACACTTGGCATCTCAACCAGTCTTGGCTCCCACTGCCCTGAAAACCAAGATCCCAGTGTTTTAGCATTGTACCATGGTGCTCATGGCAAGCCATCAGAATCCAATGAGGATTTTTGAGAGTTTAGCTTAAAATAAGTAGCCTGGTTTGGTATTAAAGGCTTTAAGGAGTTGCTTGGTAAGCCGAGCTTGATTTCTTCTTAGCTGTAAGCTTTTGGTGCAGTGATAATGTGGTTTGGAGTTGGATGGCTGAAGTTCCAACTGGTGAAATGTAGGTGGTGTGTTGGTGTCTCTGAAGGGCAGTTAGATCAGCGAGTCAGAACGTGTTTGGTTGTGTTATAAATGTTCTGTTGTTTTCTGCTCTCCAGGGTAGAGCAAGTGTGTAGAATATTTTGAATGGTATTTTCCTATTTTGTTAGATTTTGGACTGCATTGTATAACTCACTAACACAGAGTTGGGCTCTAGCTTTGCTACTGTATTTTTAGAAGTTGTTGGTCTTTTTCATTTTTTTGGTGTCCTAGATCTGCTTTGTGATTGTGACTGCAGGTGACTGAACCAGTAGAAGCATTGTTGCTGCTTCTAGTATTGAGGAAGAGTGATGCTTGAACTTAGTTTCTCTAAATTTTTTGAAGAAATTAAACTAGAGATTGGATGCAGAACTAACACTTTGGAGAAACTTGCCTGTCAATCCCAGTAAGACTTGTCTCATTGGTGTCATTTGACAGCTGCTTGCTTGTGTTCTCTACAGATGATAGATATTAATGTCCTCTTGTTCAGTCTTTGCTTTTCTTTTGTTAACACTTTATTTCCTAAAAAGTATAACATCTTTCTAAAACAATAGACCAGCAGAAGTGGGGAGAGGACTGGAGAGGGACAACTAGTTTAACAAAAACCTAGTTTTCTGTTGCATTCTTGTGTAACCAGTTAGCATAGTCTGACTTTCTGGCGTCTGTGAAAGCATTGTCTGCAATAGTGGTCTGACTGTTTAGCAGCTGGAGATCTGAATCACATGGAATACAGGTGGGAATGTTACTGCAAAGAGTGTGACAACATGCCATTGTGGAGCAAACTATGGTGTTCGTGTCATTCATCCTGCAGTTTCCTTTTTCTGCTGTTCTGGTTTTGGTCGTTTCTCAGTGGATGATAGATTTTGGATGTGCGGTAACAAAATATGTCAAAGATTCATGTTTTGAGGCTACCTTGAAGAACCTTCTGACGAAAATCTGAACAGAAAAGCATTTGGAAACTGCTTCTCCCTAATTTCCTTATTCCAGCCACTGGAGCTCTACCTTCTGTTTACAAATGCTGAAGGCAACAAGCTTGTTTGGAAGCACACATTGAAACTGTCACCTTCACAACAGGCCTTCTGGTCCAGGCAGAGCAGAGCCGCTCTTTTGGCATCCTCTTCAGTATAATCCTTGCTTTTTTTAAAAGATACTTTTGGAGCAGGAGAGAGTAAAGCATTTCCTTTCTTCTCTTAAAAGAACATGATCTCCAGGTTCTGCCTCCATAAAGGATTAATTCCTTGCACCTCCTCTTACCTCCATCCCTTGTCACAGAGAGCTGTCTGTGAAGAGACTCAGTGGGGAACTCAGCCATAATCAGTCCCACTACTTGGCATCACTCTCCCATGGTGTAGGTGTAAGGTGCTCCTATGGGAAGGCTTGTTGAGGTCTCATTTCCTTGGAGTAACTTTGCTAAAGACACCTTCACTAAGACAGACATCCTCTTAAGGGCTTGGCTGATAGGGCTGTTGGTAGGTGAGGAACTGAACAAAAGAAAGTCCAAAGCCCTCTTAAACTGAGCTGCCTGACCCTTCCACGTTCTGAGGTTTCGTCTAAGATTCCTGTGTAAGCATCTGGTCTGGAATCTGACACATTTTGACTTTCTGATCACTTGGACTTTGGTGCACTGAAGGATATGCGCACTGGGATTTATCTCCAGCGAAGGTTTTGGGTACTGGACCGTTATTGCAGTGGGAAGGCACCAGTGGGTCAACAATAAAGAGAAGCCTCAAGCAACCACAATCTCCTCCTTTCCCCATAACTGAGTGAGCAGTGAAATTACTGCACTAACCCCAGCCTCACTTAATTTAGAGCCTCTTACTCCTTCATGTCTGGTCTGTAGGTGGTGCTGCATAGACGTTCCAAGTGTACCAGTCTCTCTTGCATCTTTTTTTTCGGCTTAAGAAGTTAGAGGTTATTCAGAAGCTCTCTGAAAGCAAAGCTGTTAGAAAACTCAGGACTCTGTTACGTGCCCTGGGTATAACAAAATGCATTGTGTAGCTTTTGCTATCAGTGGTTTCTCCAGGACATCATGAAACTCACTGAACATTGCAGAAGCTTCTGTACCTCTGTTCACACATTCACAGGTACTTACTTTCTCTTAATGCCAATGCAATACACTTAAGCAAAATAATTTACAGTAGGTTAGTAATAAATTTTGAAGTTTGCCCTGTCTGTAAGAATCAAAATCAGTTTGGAGGAGAATGTGTAGGAGAAACAAAGAATGATTGCTGGGGAAGATGATCTCAACAATGAAATTAGGTGACTTGCCTCTGAAGGATTCAATGTGTAACTAAGTTTTCCTCCTCACCCTTTACTCCCTTGAGGAATACAGAACTCCCATTTTCCACGTGGGTGTGTGTTGATACCTGTTACCCACTTCTTTTGATATTTCTCTGATATCTTTGTCACTTCTGAAGCATCCAGACAAATAACCTCAGCCACGTTTGGCCTGTCTAGACTGTGCCTAACTCATGTAAAGCAGGGTGGGTTGACAGGAGGACTTTCAGAGAGTGCAGGTCCCAGTTAGGGGGGACTTTCTTGATCCAGGCAGTGAGGTCAGACATGTTGGTGAGTATTTGCCCCTTTATATAAACCATTAAAGACACCACCTGGCCTTGAGAAACTTAAAGTGAGCAATTCCAGCCTGTGGCATCCAGCTCTGCTGGCACATTTTTTGTTTCAACTGGAGACAGCTGAATATTGTACAGAAATCCCTGGACCATGTTTGAGCCTTTAAATTAGGGAGTGTAGTCTGAAACATTAATATTTCCCTTTCAGTAGTCCCTCAGAAGTGTCTTAATTTAGATTTTGAATTGTGTGTCTAATGTAGCAATAATTAGATTTTATTGGCTGCAGTAAAACCATAGTTCTTTCCGCTTTGGTTGGAACATAATTGTGTATAGAATATTTTGAGTTTCATCTCCCTTGCTGTGCAGACATAAGCTCATAATTATTATAGAAGTAGAGGAGCATGAAGCATTTTTAGCTTTAATATAAAGCAGCGTGCACAGGCTGTGCCAGCTCGTGATTGTTTCTTGAGCAGCAGTGGCTTTGGAAATCTAAACTTGACTACTGTCATGTTTACTGAAGTGTGCATTAGATATTTTTGGTGGTCACTCAAAAGCAATTCATTTACCCAGAAAGCAAGGGGCCGTTTCATTTAAATGGCCCAAGCAACTTGTAAGTAAAGGACTTGATGGAAAAATTTAGAGTAATTTCTTACCTTTCTTTTGCTCACTGTGTCTTTGCTCTTCATGTCAAACAAAACCAAGCCAAGTTAGTGTGAGTGAACTCTCTTTTGAGCATTGAGTGTTAAAATGATGATGAACTGTGCACGTGTGCAGTTGGAACAGATGATAAGCTCCAACCTCAGGCTGAATGCTTTTTGCATGAACAGAGTTGCACGATTACGGTGCCTATTCAGAAAGAGGCTCGCATGAAGCCCAAGTTGCCTTTAGACTGACAAAAACTGTGAAGAGGAAGACTGTTTGACTAGTTGACACTTCTTAATAAATGAGGACATTTATTTTCTTTTAAATAGATGGAGTCTGCACGCAAAGCATGGGAGAATTCCCCGAACATGGGGGAGAAGAGTTCTCCAGTGACCTCGGCAGCGTCTCCTATCGCAGGTGGCAGTGGCAGCAGCAGCAGTGGCAGCAACACTGGGCCAAGCAGTGGCACCTACAGCTCCTTCTCTAGTGCATCAATGCCTCCTATTCCTGTGGCCTCAGTTACACCCACAACTTCGCTCTCAGGTACCGCATGCCGAGATCATAGTATTCTGTTGTATTGTTCCTTGTTCTTCAAGAGATTGGATTCCCTTTGGAGTTGTTAAATGCAAAGCTCACAAGTTTTACGTTAGTATAGTGTCAGATCTGAACAGCAGCTTCCCAAATACCTTTTAGCTAACAGGGAAATACTTCACCTGTTTCACTTCAGTCAGCTGAAAATTATACTAAGATGTCTCTCTGCCTAAGCTACTCATATGGACTTGAAAGAGGAGGTAAACTTCTCTTGGCTGCCTTATTGGTTTCATTCTGTTCGACTGAATGAAGGAAAGAGCGAAGTAGATTTTGGGGCAGAGGATAGTTCTGATATCCAGCTAATTGCAACTTCCCTTTGTGCTCTTGCTTTTTGAGTTAAAGCCTCAAGAACTCATAATAAACCCCCTTCACGAAAGGCAGAGCAAATGTCCAGCTGCTCTTCACAAACAGTGCTGGTTGCCACCTTCGTTCTTGGCACCAAACAAAAGATGCTATAGCTGGTTAAGTCTTCATGCCTTGGAATATTAGAATATGTTCCCAAATCTCAACTGAAGCCTTTGAGAAAAAGCTTTTGTAGGCTCCTGTAGCTGAGAAGGAGATGTATAATTCCTGAGAAGGGAGTGTATTGCAGTACTTCCTATCGTGAACTTAACAGAATTGTCTCGTGTTTTTGTCATGTTGATGGAAACAGCTGCATTGGGTTTCAGTGGTTTTTATCAGTTTTTGCTGTGCTTGCATAGCTGTCCCAAAACTTGGACCACTGAACGATGAGGCTTTGAAATATCTTTGATTGATGTGTCCCTTGCTTCTCCCCTCCAAGGAGCCGGAACATACACCACCTCTTCACTGAGCACGAAGACTGCGAGCACCTCTGACCCTCCTAATATCTGCAAAGTGAAGCCCCAGCAGCTGCAGACAAGCAGCCTGGCTTCTGCCAGTCACTTCTCCCAGCTGAGCTGCATGCCATCCCTCATTGCCCAGCAGCAGCAAAGTCCCCAGGTCTACGTGTCCCAGTCTGCAGCAGGTAATGGTGTTTGTGCCCGAGAAGCCACGTGTCTGCTTTTTTGGAGTTCTGAAGCTGCAGAGTTGAATTTCGTTCTGGTTTTCTCTGCAGTAAAGACAGAATGATGTAGAGCATTCTGTAGCAAATATTCACTAATTGTGTCTTGCTCTAAATCTGCAAGTTTCTGTCAGTAAGTACAAAGATAGTACTGTGTTAGTTCTTTGAGGAAAGTAAATTTGAGTCTCTTAATGCACCATTTTTCTGTTGCAAAATTGTACATCACTATTTAAGAGCAAAAGTGATTGTCTTGATTTCTTTCTTAAAATGCTACAGGTGTTTAGAATTGTGACATATTTTCTTTAAAGAAAATCCTACATTGAGTTAACCTAAATTACATGACACTATAACATGTTCTTCACCTTCCTTCACCCGAACACCTTTTTTTGGCCAGAATTTGTTGCTCACCCCCCCAAAATTGTGTGGGATTTAAGATGCCTGTGTGAGATGGATAGACTCTGAGGGAGAGTTGGAAAAGATACCAAAGCTGGTTAGACACCAGCTCTCCAGTTCTGTGTCTTCTCCCAGGCTCTCTGGTAGCAGTCACGCTGGGAAGTAATGACAGTGGCTGCATGTCTAACTCTGGATGAAAACCTCTCTAGCAGGGAGATGATTGGAATCAGGTACTAATTGTATTGCTCTTCCTGAGGTACTACAGCTCAGATCCCAGCATTTTATATGGATACAAGTCATCTGTTCAACACCCAACATGCACGTTTGGCACCACCTTCTCTGGCCCAACAGCAAGGCTTTCAACCAGGGCTTTCTCAGGTACTTGGGGATTTCTTATTCTCTGTTTTCCCCTCCCTGTCCATATTGCCTTTAAAGTTCTACTGATGATCCAATGGGGAGAGTGGGACTAAAGACTTGACAAGAAAACAGGTCATGAAACCCTTGCCATTTCATTCTGGTGCACGCAGGGGGTGTTTGATCTCTGCTGTTGCTGAGAATTAAAGCATTTGTCGTGAAAGTTGAGAAAAGTTTTCACTCACAAATATTTGTGAAAGCACATATTCACAGGAGGTGTTTGTGGTCATGTTAGTGCAGGCTTGCTCAGCTTTGGTAGTACAAAATTATATGCAATCTTGTGCAGTTGTTTTGTACACAAATCTAAATGATTAATCTAGTTTCGGCTGGTTATTTGCAAGGAAAAGTGCAAAATTCAACTAGAAAGTAATTTTCTTAGTGGCAGCAATACTATCTCTGCATGCAGCCTTGGGATTTGACATTCTCTGTTTACTTTTCATAAGGCTACACAAATCACACATCAAACTGTAGCTTTTCTACGTGGCTTTTGTCCTTGGATATTTAATGTTTTCTTTTTTATGCAGCCCGCTTCAGTTCAGCAGATCCCCATCCCCATCTATGCACCTCTGCAAGGACAGCACCAAGCTCAGCTGAGTTTAGGAGCAGCACCAGCTGTTTCCCAAGCCCAAGAGTTGTTCAATTCCTCCTTACAACCTTATAGGTAGGTAGCATATGCAGATTTCTTTGGGTTTTGAGTGGCAGAATTTATTGAACTTGATTCCCTGCAGACTTGTGTTCTGTGCTCCACAGCTGCCTCATCTTCCTGTCTTCTCCAAAATCTCTTCTATTTGTCTGAGAACTCTGTATGCAGATTGTGTGTCTAGTCTGCTTGTACAGATTATGCATGATAGTTGTATCTTTAGAAATCCAGGCTAAAAAGCTGAAAACATCAGTATTTCATACTAAGAGAACAGAGAAAGTCTGTCCCTTTAATTCAGCAGTTTTCTAACCAAACCAGCACTGGAGTCATGAAACACTTTGAAATCCTAGTTTGAACTCCTTAGATGGTAAAAACTTAACTTCAGATGTGTGGGGGTAGCTGGCTATGTTTTAGAATGTTTTCTGTTTGCTACAAAAGATAATAGTAAGACCAATTGGCATTGGTAGCCAGACAAACTTCCACTGTAAGCCTTTCCAAAGCTTCCTCGCACTTCCTATCAAAACTGACTCACAGCGGTATAATTCTGACCAGTGCTGTTGGTTTCACTTTGAGGAAGTTTCTTTGGAAGTTTAATTGGAGGGTTTTGCCTGGGCTGTAGAAAAACCTGCTTGTTGCAATGTAGAAGACTGAAGCCACAGAAAGTTTAATTAACTACATTTGTATCCTGACTTTGTGCTTGGCTGGCTTTGTGGGACCAAGTATTGCTTGTCCTGCCACAGCTGACAAAAGCTGTTGCAAACAGTTGGCTAACTGCAGAAACACAATCAGTTTGGCATGTGCTCCAGATTAAATAAATGCTTCTGGCAGAGGAGGATAAGCTTTGAGAGGTACAAGTTGCTGGTTGAAAAAAAAATGCAACCAAAAGTGAAAAATGAACAAAAAAAAAAACCTGGTAAAAAATTTTGTCTGCGTTGAAGAAAATCCTCTGCATACAATGTGGAAAAGTTTCTCCAGTGCTCAGAGTAGGACTGTAAGAGTGTTTTGCAGTTAAGGAAAGGTACAAAACAAAGCCAGTCCAGGTGGTGTAACCCAGGTGTTGTGTCAGACCTGCACATGGCCACCACAGCAGTCGATCAATGGGTCCAGTGCTGTGCTCACACATATCCACCATATGATGAACTAAAAAATGTTTGTACATAAAACACTCTCCTCTGAGCTCCAGAGCTTTGAGAGGGGCATTTGGTTAAAAAAATCTTAATTCTTCAGTCTCAAGGTGGCTCTTAATGGAAGTGTTTGGATAGGTATTTCAGATGGACTTAAGACAACCTATCTGTGGTGCTTTGCTGTACTGGCTTTGGTCTTTGTTTCTTAACCAAACTGCAACTTCCCCATGCTGATGACAAAGGCATTGGATATCTGGCTAAAATTAAAGGCTGTGTGTGGTCTCTTTTGAAACTAAAACATTCATTTGGAAGCTACAATTGTCAGTATCCAGTGATTTAACCTGTAAGTATTGAAAGTTGGACTGTGGAGTCAAGAGAACAAAGCAGTTTATTTATGACTAAGTGGAGCTATTCACGTGTGCTTCCCTGCCATCCTACCTTATAGCACATGAACTAAGAACTGACAGCTTCTGTATTTTACAGTTAAGTTATCCAAGAACTGTTTTAGCTTGCACATGCAAATAGATAAATGTAATTAAAGATTTTTAGTAAAAACCTAATCCTTTCTTTTCCTGTGGCCTTTAGTAGCCTCTATTATATTGTGTACAGGGTAAATAGAAAAAAAACCCTTCCTTTCTCACGTGAAAATGTGTTCAGTAGAGCTAAGCATTCTATTTCTATTTAAAGAATATAAGCTGTGCTCCTAATTTTTGGTGGCTCGTTGTTGAGCTCTGTCATCATTTTTATGTATGGTGCTTCAATCCCTTGCAGATCTCAGCAAGCTTTTATGCAGAGTGGTTTGTCTCAGCCGTCGCCAGTGGTTCTGTCTGGTACAGCCTTACACAACTTCCCAGCAGTCCAGCACCAGGAGCTTGCTAAGGCACAGTCCAGCCTGGCATTCCAACAGACTTCTAACACACAGCCTATCCCCATCTTATATGAGCACCAGCTTGGTCAGGCTTCAGGACTGGGAGGCTCTCAGCTCATTGATACACACATTCTGCAGGTAGGAAATGCTCCAAATGAAAAACTTCTGCAGTGGTTTGATACAGGACATCAAATCTTGCTCAGCTCGGGATAAGCCCACCTATGTGGTAACAGTCAAAGTGACAGGAAGATTAAGACACTTGGAAGAGAATGTTCTTTTAATTTCATAGAGGTACATTAGCATAATCTCTGAATTGAGGCTTGTTCCCCAAATTACAGGGCTCCTCACACTTCTGTCGTTAATTAGAGCTTCAGGTTGAATTTCTGTTATGGTTGATGATAAAAGGCTGTTGTACCACCTGCAAATGAGAGCTTTGTCACAAACTGAAACCCTCAGGTTGTCAGTTCCCCATGCTGTGGTTTCTGCTGCACTGGTTGATGTCCAGAGGGATGTCCCACACTGCCTTGGAACTCTCCTGAATGCTCTTAAGGTAATGGTATCTCTTGCTGTCCCTAGGCCAGAGCTACACTCACTCAGGCTTCAAATCTCTACTCTGGGCAAGTTCAACAGCCTGGCCAGAGCAATTTCTACAACACTGCACAGTCTCCCAGTGCTCTCCAGCAGGTAAACTATGGCATGGTAAATTCCCTAAATTGTATTCTTCTTAAAAGTGTGTTGTGTTGATGGTGTCTGTGGGGTGGGGGTAGAGATGGGGGCTCAGAATTTTTAATTCTTCCAAAATGCAAGAATTTCAAGTTAAGAGCTACAGCAGCAGCCCTGAACCAGCTAATTGCTGATAAGTTATATGGCCCACAGTTCATGTTGATCATTTGTCCCTGGCATCCTTCTCTTAAATAGTTCATTTTCCAGTGATGGACAAAGGTTTAATTGGCACAGTGGTGTTGCTAATTGATTGAGGCACATGGTGCTTTTATGGGGGGAAGGTATCAGGGATGGTGGAAGGAAACTCCAGGTGCTTTGTGCAGCCTAATGGTTGACCACCAGATCTCACTGAGATGAAACCCAGTGATAACAAAAGTGTAGAAAATAACTGAGAAGTCAGCAAATAGGTGATGATACAGGGAAACAAGACAGCCAAGGCAGTAACCAGGAATCTGTATCAGGAGGTTTGTAAAACACCTCCAGTGATTTTAAGGCTTTTTAATTCTTTTGTGAAAGAACTGCTTATTAGCTGTGTGCAAGCATTGTCATATTCACAGGATGCTGTCTAGAGGTTTCTATCTTCTGGTTCAGTTTTTTTATTTAAGTGGCCTTAAAAAAAAAAACAAACTTCTGATGGACTGATTTATTATAGTAGCCTACCTCATACACATGAAAAGTTGCCAAGACAAGAAATGTAGAAGAGTCATGAAAAAATTGGATCTCATCTATTGGAAATCTAGCATGAAGTTTTAAGGACCTTTTAGAAGGGTTAGTGATTATAATGTGTTCAGTCCTGGCTGTCTCTATACTTTTAATCTGTTATCCTGCAGAGCAGAATCCTAGTAAGCCTTTTTTCTAGTCACACTCAGAATATAATTTTGCAGGTTGTGGATCGTCAGAGTAGGACATGCAGTGACTTCTGCCAGTCAGGTCACTGCTGTGGTATTTTCACACTTACCACTCTGTGGTGTTTTCAGCCCACAGCACTCTCTGTAAGTGCAAGCAAGGGACAGGCTGCAGTTTGTTGGGGTTGTTTTTAACTTCAGACTGCTGGTTGTTGGAACTCATGGAAAGTTAAATCTAGTTTTCATCCCAAACAGTGTCCTTTGATGACTAAAATTGTCTAAGTAAACAACTAAGCCAATCCAGTCCCCTCCCCAGCTCACTATTTTGTTCTGCTTTTGTTTGAGTTAAATTTACTTCTTCATACAGTGAAATCATGTTGAAGGATGTTGACGTTGGGAGATGCCATGCAACTTTGTTTCTGAAAAGCAAAGACCCAAATGCCATTAGAATTGATTATAAAGGCAGACTGAACAATAAATTAACTTGTTTGCTTGCAGCTCTCTGGGTAAATGTATGAACTCATTAAGCCATTTGCCTTGAATAAAGCTGAAGTTGTAGAGCTACTAATGAAAGTTAAATAATGGCCTTTGTGTCTGTTACTGGTGATTCTGCACTTTCTTTCCAGGTGACGGTACCTCTGCCAGGATCCCAGATTTCTTTGCCCAACTTTGGATCCACAGCACAGCCACTGATTGCCCTGCCCCAGTCTTTACAGCCACCACTACAGCACACACCACCACAAGCCCAGGCTCAGAATCTGAGCAGGCCTGCACAAGTAACCCAGCCTTTCCGAGGACTGATCCCAGCAGGAACTCAGCACAGCATGATCGCTGCCACTGGAAAGGTAACAGCTCTGGTACATCTGCAGGACTGAAATTATTGGGAAGCACAGCCACGTGTTGGGTTATACAACCAGCATGTTGACTTACACCTAAAAATCTGCCTCGGCTCTAAAAGGTAGGGAGGGGAAAACAGGAAAGGCAGTCAGTGCTAGTGCCTGAGTGACTGGGTCTGTGTGTTTTGTGAAGGTTTAGCTAGGGGTCTGTAGCTACTGGTCCATTTGCACTGTAGGAGTACCTGGTTTGATAGTGACTTTGTGGACCACTAGGGCATTTTATGTAGAAGCCATGTAGAAAATGGTAGTGAACCATTGTTAGAGCAGCTGGCAAACAACTGTCAGGGCTGGTGTCTGATTCTGGTCATGCTTGTGTTTGTTGCTTTGTTTCTGGACTCACACCAGAGCAAGTTGTGTGGGTTCAAGATCTTCCAGTGCAACAAAGTGGAGTTTTAGGGGCTTCAATGGACTCTGATCAGCTCTGACCTTAAACTGGAATTAAACTCAGCAAGCTGCATATTAAGAATGTAACATTTTATGCAAGACAGAACCTTTGATGTGTAATTAAAACAGAAAGCTGATCTGGCAGCCGAGGAAAACTCCCTGAGTGACTGCTCCAGTAAGGAAATAACACTGAAATAGTGTAAGAAACTTGAATATCTAGAGGGGAATTCTCTCCTTTATCTGAAGCTGCTAAGGTAGTTGCCAATGAGTACATGCATGAAGCTGGCTTGCAATCACAAGGTCTCTTGTCTTAGATGGAATCCCAGATTTACAGGCACCTGGGATTTTTGGATAGTGTGCAGCACAAGACAGCTGGAGTAAACTTACAGGTGAGCAGTGGCTGATAACACTGGACATGAACTCAGCTAAGGTTTCTGTCAGGTACAGCAAGATCTTTCCCCACCTCAGGGAGTAATCTGCCTCTGGAGCTGCACCTGAAATCCCTACAGCCTGTGGCCTAGATTTTAGGGTGCTTTGGAGTATAAAATGACCCCGCTGTTCCAGAGAATTACAGCTGTGATAAGAGAAATCTCTCTCGAGCGTTAATTCCATGTCTTGGGCAGTGATGGCACCCAGAGTTCGAGACCACCCAGATGGAAGTGTTCAGCCTGTCACCCCCAGAGTGTATGTGATGATTTTGGCACCGGGCATTTTTCCAGCTTGATGAGATCTGGCCAAATCTTTCCACCTTTATAGTTGTTATGAGCCCACCTTGCAAACAGCATGTTTCCTGCCACAGTTGTCATTGGAAAATGATCACTCATTTCAGCAAAAAATGAGGATGCAGTGGGTTGGTGTCCTTAGATGACTCTCCAGCCCTGCTCTAAGGATTCCATCATGTTCCTGTTAGAGAAAGCTTAAAACAGCCTCTCATTTTTAACTGATTTATTGTTGCTGTTATGCTTCATGGCCCTGTGTGGAAATACACTGTTGCAGAGACTTAATTTATTCTGTTCAGTGTATCTGCAATATAGCATGCAAGATTCATTGCTCCAGTTAGTCTGCAGATCTTTTTTCCTTGAATGACAGCTCCATTTTGCTGTGCTTTAAGGTTTTTTTTTATAAAACTGGACTATTTTATGTCATTTTTCTTTTCAGCATTTTTTGGGATTATTTCTAAATATTTTCACGTGGTACCTGAGATGGGAATCTCAGATAATGAGATTTGAACTTCAAAACATTTTTTTTTTTTTTTTTAGGGCCAAATAGATGAAATTACTCTCAAATCCCCTTTCCTTGTGCAGGAGGATCAAGTTAGAAAGCCACTACCAAGTGCCAGATAGTGCAGGAAAATTGTACAGAGAGGTGCTTGTGGTGCTGGGCTTATCCTAATTATAAGAGTCCATTCTCCAGTGAGGCTTTCATCTCCACTTAAATTACCTGTTTTCATTGAGGTAAGCTAACAGCTGCTTAGCAAATCTAATTTTTTTAATTAGAATTAACATGTCAGTTGCTGTGTTTTTCAGATATCAGAAATGGACCTGAAGGCCTTCGGAGGTGGCATTGATGTTAAACCTGGAACACCACCAGTTACTGGCAGAAGTACTACTCCAACCTCCAGTCCCTTCCGGTAAATCTGCCTTAAGCTCAGAATTCCTTGAAATCAGAGCTAGAAAATGTACCTAGTCATGCATGAGCAGCCAGTTCTGAAAGGTATGAGGTGAGGGGCCACTGATGTAAAATACAGTGCTTAAATCTTAGCTTACAAGCAGCATTCCAGTAGATCATCACATCTGTTGTAGTTAAACACAAGTACATAGCTCTGAAGTAAAATGTGAAAAATATTTTTTGATTAACTGAAACTAAACACGTCACGTGAAATGACCTGGGATTGTACCAGTAGGGCACTGAAGTGGCAGGGAAGAGGTACTTTGGGATAAACTCTGTGACAGTTTATCTTAATTGTGGTGTTCTAAGTAAAATCACTTAAAGGCTTAGACAGCAGTTGTGGCAGCAGTTCTGTTTAAAGGGGTAGGGGTTGTTGCAATATCCACAAGCTTCTCACCAATGAAATTAGTAAGCTAGGCAGCCTCCTTCAAGTTCACACAGTGCTGGTGTGTGTGGAGCTTAGTTGGTGGCCCTGCCAGTGGTGCCCTGCTGCTGGTTTCACCTTGAGTGACTGTATCACCCACAGTCTGCATGTGAGAGCTCCCTGCAAGTCAAGCCCTGTTTCCTAAAGCAGGCTGTTCGGTCTTTATTTTCTCTGAGGGTTGTTTGCTGCCCTGCCCCCAGATAATCTTTCAAGCTTCATGTAATTCATGGTGATTGAACACCTTGAAAGTTTTAATGGAGGGTCACGTTCTTGGCTAAGTAAAACAGGGGGAGTAGTGTTTTCTGTGAATTCTTGAAATCTGTTCAAGTGCATTTTGGAAGGTTTGACAACAGGTCAGAGTTGAAGCAGCTGCAAATGTTCACTGCCTGTTGTGACAAGCTCTGAACTTGCCACAATAGAGCAAACAGTGTGAAGGGGCAGGACTGGGCAGGGGTGGGAAGGGGAACACACTTCTTACATTAGTATTTGTGTCGTGAATACTTTAAGGAAAGGTCTCTTTCACACAGACATACCCTGGAATCTTTCCATATCCTAAATATTTCTGATTATGGTTTCTCCTTGTATTCTAAACTTCTGAGTTTGTTTGCATATAGATGAAGCTTCACACCAGCTTCTCGAAGAGATTAATTTTTTTTACCCCTCCAATGCTAAATTTCTAGTTGTAACTAAAGGCAGAAACATCCTCTGAATGAAAGCAGTGTGATTTTTAACTGGAGTTCTTTCCCTTAGGGCCAGTTCTACAAGTCCTAACAATCAGTCCAATAAAATGAACAGCATTGTCTACCAGAAGCAGTTCCAGTCAGCAGCTGCTGCTGTAAGAATGACACAGCCATTTCCTGCACAATTTGCACCCCAGGTAGGTGACTGGTGGCTTCCTACAAACAGATTTTTTTTCTCTGTATGACCTGGTGACTACCTTGACTGTGTCTCCTCAGGCTTTATCATGGGGAGATACAAAATGGCATCCTTAAAATGAAATGGCGTAAGAAAGCTGATTTCAAAGCAAAAAAGTACCTCTCTGATGTTGCTAACTAGTAGTGCTGATTTTGTGGTGTTGTGCACACTCAGGAATGTAATACAAGTTGTGAATGATGTAGAACAGACAGTGTTCTGGCTTCCCCAGGCAGCTGTAATGCACCTCGTCCTGCAAAAACGGGTCACTTGGTTGGGGAAGGGGAGGAGCTTTGTGTCTCAGAAGGGTCCCAGTGCATATTTTAAATGTTCAAAGACAAAGCAGATTTGCAGCTCTGAAGTACTGAAGGAGCAGTTCAGGTTGGAAAAGATCTCTGAGGTCAAATAGTCCATACAAGGCAGGGCTGATGGCAAAGGGTTTGATTTGCTTTGGCATTCCAGGGAGCACAGCTTACAAGGGTGGTGCATCCCTGTTACAGGTGTCTCTAACCAGGCTGCTAGGGAAATGTAGCCTCTCTAAAAATGTAGGATATTTCTGTCTTTTAGCATTTGGAGTGTTGGACTGCAGGACTTGTGGATTTGATTTCTGGATTGCCACTAGCAGAAACTACATCACCTTTCCAGGGCTGCCTTTCTCTAGTGGCTCCTCCACTGCCTTGTGAGGGTTTTCTCCCTTTTTACATGCTGGGTTGAAGTTGTTGGTGCTGCTTTCAGCCACAGCAGCACTGCAGGGCTGGCTTTTTCTTGGAGTTCAGGCATGGCTTTTCCTAGCAAAAAAGCCTGTTTTCTTGACATAGCAGAGTAGCAGCTTTTCCCCCTTAAAGATAATGCCAACGTGCAATCTAGTTGGCGATTTTCTAATTGAGAACTGTCTCTTCTTGTTGTTTTTCCCCCACTTAGATCCTCTCTCAGCCTAACCTGCTCCCTCCATTGATAAGAGCCCCATTTACTAACACCTTCCCAGCGCCTGTTCAGAGGCTGCCAGTAGCACTGCATAGTCAGATGCCGTCTCAGATGACCACAGGCCTTATGAGCCACCCTCAGTTACCACGTGTGGCCAGAGGTCCTTGTGGATCAGTACCTGGAGCCAGAGGCAGTCAGGCCCAGGCTGCGCTGAAGGCTGAACGAGACATGAAGGTTAGTATGTGAACAGCAGAGCTGCTGCTGCCACCAGTTCAGTCTGACAGCTCTAGGGCAGGGATGTGTCTGCAAATCAGGGCTTCAGGAAAAGGCCTCTGGACCCAAAGCTGGTAGCTGGGCTTTTAACAGCTGAAAGCAGACCTTCTCTAAGCCCTGTTGTTTTTTAACAAGAATTTTAAAATATTTGTAGGGAGCTTCCTTTCTCAGGTGGTCCTGTGGTCAGCAGCTGTAGAGCTGCCACTGCTGTCCAAGGCAATGTGACAACGAGGTGTCAAGAGCCTGGATTTTTATTGAATGAGCGATAAAGCTTCACGCCTGGCTCTTACCTCTCATTTCACACCCCAGCTCTGAGCAGCACTGTGGACCCTCCTGTTCCAGCCAGCCTCACTCCTTGGGGACTCTGAAGAGTCATTTCCCAGTGGTTTGAAATGCCTGTGGTTAATTCTCTGTGGAGGAATGCAGTACATGGTGCACTGCACAGAACAGGGGGTTGCATTTCAGTAGCAGGGGATGACAGTCATCAAACTTGTTACAGCACTTTGGGACCCTTCAGGTCGAGGCAAACTCTTCTTCCCACGGCAGGACTGCAGTGTGGGATGTCTGTAGGGGCACCATTGGACACTCAGCCTATTTACTGCAGAGTTGCTTGAATAGATGGTACTTAGGAGCTCCTTCATCTACTGCCATTCAATGTAACACATGCACTGTTATATAAAAGCAAGAGAATGTGGTGGTCTTGGTTTTGCATGGCTGTAGGAGAATTCGTTACCCCTTAAATTGTAGGTAGTTGGTCCATTTAGTTTCTAGCACCGATTCATGCAAAGACTTACCAGGTGATGCTTCGTGTATTGTCTTGATTCTGTATTGTGCATTGAATCTGGCCAGTCATAGCAAATACTAATACACAGTTCTGGTTTCCTGAACCTCCCTGCAAACACTGTGGAAAGGAATGAGAGTTACTCTGTCACACTTGGTTACTTGGGATCAAGTCATCCAGCCTTAACCTCAGGGGATGGCTGAAATCTGGGCTAAAGATTTCAGGTGTCCGCCTGGCTCCAGTAAAATCAGGCTGTTGCTGCAGTCTTGCACACCAGAGTTCACAGGTTTGTTTTCTGTTCTGTTGCTGCTTGAGTTACTTGGAGCAACTACACAGTGTGAGAGCCAAGGCCTCTTGTTCCAGGCATTTGCTGTTTTGTCCCCCACCCCGTTGTTGTGTCTGTGTTTCCCAGCTCCATTTTCTGAAAAAAAAAAAAAAAAAAAAAAACCAAAAAACAAACCCACAAACAAAAAAAACCAAACAATAAAATACTTGGAGAGGTACATGGCTTAGTGCCTGTATTGCAGTTGGGGCTCCTTCTGTTAAGATACACCTTTTTAATTTAAAAAAAAAGATTTTTGACTGCATTGGGCTTAATTGTGCAGTTTCCAAAAGATTGAACTCTAATGGAACTCCTGCTTTGCCTGAGTGTGGGCAGGAAAGCCAAGTGCTTGGTGTGAAGTGTCTGGTCTGCACAGTGGAACTGGAACATGTCGCAGGGCAGGGTTACTGGTAGGATTCAGAGGAGGGATTTGAAGGAAGCCAGGCAGTAGTTTGTGCTGCCTGGGACGAGTGCTTGCTTGGAGTGGGAAAAGATAAGGCTTCAGCTTACATATAGCACAGTCTTGAATCTGGTTCACTTGCATCCCCATTGCAGGTTCTGAAGTCTGTGTTCAGAGCCACGGGGGGGGGAAATCTGTGTGCTCAGAGTAGGCTGTGGTGCTGTGAGAGCCCCTGCACTCCGAGGTGCAGCGCACACGACAGGAGCAGGGACAGCTGGAGTGCCCTGGGTGCCCACGGGAGTGTCCTGCACACACCCTCTGGCCACGTCTGACCTGTGCTGAGGGGGGAGCTGCAGTTTGAGCCTGCTGTCAGCAGTGTTTATACTTCTAAAGCTCTGCAACAGTAGTGGCATAAAAAGATGTTAGATAATGCTTCAGACTGTTGTCCTTGATCCTCTTTTCCTGGGGGCAGGATTAGGAAGAGGAAGGGAGGCCTAGGCATGAAGTTAAGCTACTGCTGAGGAGCCAAGCACCCATGGTGACATCTGGAAAGCAACTGGATGGACACTGCCTTTCTAGGAAAGTCTGGCCACTGCGGTCAGTCCTTTCCCCTTTGTTTAGGAAATACTTTTGTGAAGTCACTCTTATTCCAATGCCCTCTCTTCAGTAAACTTATTTTCTCCCTCTCTTAAGGCAAAGCAGAGAGCAGAGGTACTTCAGTCCACCCAGAGATTCTTTTCTGAGCAGCAGCAGCAGCAGAGCAAACCCATAGGAGGCAAAGCCCAGAAAGTGGAGGAGAATGGAAGCAAACCCCCCGAGGCAATTGCTGATTCCTCAGGAGTCTGCCAGGACAAAACGGAGGAGAAGCCCGCGCCTGCACCCGCTGCCACACCGAAACCTGTCAGAACTGGACCAATCAAACCTCAGGCAATCAAAACCGAGGAAACTAAATCTTAGAGGCTGTGTTCCCATGGAGGGGGGCAGAGGGGAGGGTGGGCGAGGTGTCAGCAGCATGAGTTTGTGGCCTGAAGGCCGAGGCAGCAGCCTGCTCTCCCTGCAGGGCTCCGAGCAGCCTGAAGGGGCACAGGAGCCATCAGCAGTTACAGGTGCAAACTGCTGGGTGTCCAGCTGAGCTCCTGGGCTCTGGGGGTTTGTGTCTCCTCTGACAGCATGAAGGCTGCTCTCGGTGCGTGCACGTTCCACACGTGTGCGCGTGTTTTGGCTTACACACCTTCTGCTTCCCACGGTGAGAAACATGGAGAAGTGGCAATGGCAGGGAAGAAGGTGGTGGGGAGGCATGTTCCTGGCTGACACGATGACTTCTCTTATTTTCTTCAGGCTCTGATCTTCAGCTGCTATTTATCTTTTTATAAACCCATGAGTATGACAACATGCAGTTCTGAAGATGGTGCTGGGCCAAGTAATGTGTGTTAAGTTTTTAGTGACTTAAGAAGCTTCTATCTTGTAACAAACAGAGGGATCCATAGCTGGCAAAATTGCCTTTGCCACGCGAGGTCTAACCTAACGTGACACAGTGATGCTGGTGGTGTTGGATTTCCCTCTGGAGGCAGTGCTTTGCTGGCTGCTGCTGCTTGGATGACAATACTCTGCATTTAGATCACCACATGAAAACGCTACTTGGCCACCTGTGTCCTCTCCACCCGCTGCCCCCTCAGTGGCTCTCACCCCTGGAGTTGAAAGGTTCGTTGCATCAATAGTCAGGTTTGTTCCGTTCACCCCTGTCCAGGTGTCTTTATATGATGCGAGTGGTCTCTAAACGGTTCCAGTTTCTGTCTGTGATACAGCAGCGAGCACTTAAACTGTGCCACGAGAACTACAGAAACCTTACTGATTAATGAGAGTTGATCTCAAAGGTGCATTTTCATATCAGAGCTGAGTCGCACCACCTCCTTGCCCACAGTGTGCTGGAAAGTAGAATCAAGTCAAATAAATGCCTTTTTAATTGTATCCTCTAGTATTCTAGCTGTAGGACAGTACTGTATGATACTTCTGTGAATGTAAGATATCCTGTACCTGCTTATGATATGTAGTAGTGACTGTGCTATACTGGAGCTGTTTTTAATAATGTTATTCTAGAGGTTTTTTTTCCAGACAATGATTGAAAAAGCTAATAAAAAGCACCAGGTACCACATCAGTAGCAGAATTTGCTGGTTTTTCCTTGGATTTTTTTTCCTTTTTTTTTTTTTTTTTTTTTTTTTTTTTTTTTTTTTTTTTTTTTTTTTTTTTACATTTTTTGGAAGGAAGAGTTGAAAGTCTAATGTGTATAATTTTGTTCAAATGACTGCAGAAGCTGGAAAGGCTGTTGCTGCTATTGATGCCTAGTGAATCGCTATTGGTTATCTTTTTATATAAATATATATATAATTTGAATTTTTGGAAACTCTAGCTGTGATGTCAACTTTGGAAAAAAGTATCCCACTTGTAGTGTGAGTTGGCATTGTACAGAAATTAACAGCCATATTGGTCTAGAAATGTTAAACTTAATTTTTTTTCCATTTGTACAGGGGTAACGCACTGTATGAAATATGTACGGTCTTATTTACATGGGTTTGATTACAGAAACTAATAAAGTATTCTCTAAATAAAGCCCCCGGGTGATCTGGTGATTGGTGCAGCGCTGCAGGACGCGATGGGAGCGGTGCCAAGGGAAAGCAGGCTGCTGAGGAAAACACTGGAACAGCTCATTGCTGTACCCCCAGCGCTGTCACGCTCCCTCTGCAGTGAAGGTCTCCCGGGATGTGGCTTCCATCTCTCCATGGAAGGAGCCTGATGGGTGTGGTTGCCACATGTTCCATCTCCAGCTCGTGGGAGCTGCCTGGCGCTGGTGGTTCCCCAGGGAGGAGCCGCTCGGCAGAGGAGACTGGGATGTCCCCAGCTGGTGAGTGACAACACCCCGGCAGCACCAGGGGTAAAGGCAAGAGGTTTCCTGCCAGAGAGAGCCTTGGCCTGAGCCTTCCCAGCCCCCCCGGGCCCAGCCCTGGGATGTGGGGTTCAGGAGAGGCAGGACACTGTCAGCTGCCACCAGGGGAAACTTGCTTCCCAGCCTTCTCATGTTTGGTCTCCGAGAAGTAATTCCTGCCTTGGGAGAAGGCGCTGGTTGGCTCTGCACCTCTGAAGAAAGGGCAAAGCCAGGCAGGGGTGTTGGGGGGCAGTTGGGCAGGTTGACCTTTGGTCAGGGGTGTTGCTGCCCGGCCCCACAGTGGGTCAGGAAGCAGCAGACTGGGGCCACCAGGAGAGCTGGAGCCCTGCCCGGGTTGGTGCTGTTTGGGGGTAGAACTGCAGCAATATGGAGTAAATAAAAGATTCTGTAATCCACAAACAAGCAGTGGGCAGGGGAGTAACCTCCAAGCAGGTAACACTGCAGGTAAGTCACCTTTTTCATAAGGATACCTCTGAGCACAACTGCAGTAAACACTCGGGAAAAGGAGGAGGTGGGGAACTGAGTGAATGGAGACACTGATTTGATCTATAAATGTGCTATAAAGTTAATTGAGCTCTGCTGATGTTTCCCTGGTTTGAGGTTGTCTTCTGCCTGTTTCACCCCAAAAATGGGAACTCATTCACCAGAGTATTCTATTTTTAAGGAAATGCTGTTAAAAGGATTAATGTTAAATTCTGTGGTAATAAAGGAAGTAAATTCTGTGGTAACTAGGAAGTCAGACAAATTTTCCACAGCTGGCTTTGGGAATGTACCAGGCTTTGGGCTGTTTCTTGCACAGAACTGAATGAGGGTAATATTTCTGCAGAAACTTAATTAAAAGCAAATTCTTGGGCATTTTATGCCTCCAAATAACCCATTTTTGATGTGTGTCTCTCCAAAACCCCAAACCACCCTGGCTTTGAGGCCAGGTGGAGCTTTCAGTCACTGACCCCAGTTCATCGAATATTTTTATGACATTTAATCAGATAACTTGCCCCTGGCTATTTACGCTGGAGTAGCTCTTGCTTTTTTAATTTGTGTGGGATTTGGTGTGTAATCTCTTTTCTAGGACCCTGGTCATCAGAAAGAATTGTGCTGAACCTCCCAGAAATTAGGGAACTATTTTGTTGGGGTAATTAATTTTTTTCCCCCTTTAATAATGTTCAGGCTGTGAAAAGACTGTAGCTTTTCTCAAGGGCAGGAGCCAGAAGGGGGTTAAGTGTGACTGGGCCCAGATCCAGCAACCCCCCTGGGCTCAGGCAGGCTTCTTGCTGGGGTGCAGGAGGGGAGGGCTTGTTTTCCCAAAGCCTGTTAAGTAAAGCTGTGTATTCAGCACTGTTCAGCTCCAGCCCAGCTTTCTGGAAATCCTGTGTACACTGGCTTGTCTTCATTTATTTTCGTAGTCAATTAAGAGATGGACTTCCCAGCCTGAAAAGGCCCCGGGGCGGGGCGGGCCGGGGCTGTCTGCCCTCGGTGTCTGGGCTCAGCGAGGTGCTGCTGCTCCCCGGGGCTCTGCACAAACCCTGCCTTTCATCCTGGGGCTCGGCTCATGCCCCCAGGGAGCTGCGGGGTGAAGGGAGGCTCCAGCCTCGCCTCCCATCCTGTTCTGGGACAGAAATGCCTTTCTCCCATCCTCACTGCCTGGTTGTCTGTGCACTGGGTGGGCAGGTCCCAGCTGGGGTGGCTCAGCACTGTGTCAGCAGGGTCTGGCTGCTGCTGCCTCGCTCTTCCTGGGTCCAGAGGGTCCCTGACAGCCCCTGCCTGCTCCTGGGTGAGCCCCAGCTTTACTGCCCCAGATCTTGCCCTGCCCACCTCTGGCTCACCAAACCCCTTATGCATAGAGTGAGTCTCACTTTTTACAGCCATCACATATTTTTCCAAAATAAAGCATGGGAATGATACAAAAGCCAAGTTCTTCATTATGTTGTATATGTAAATACACAGTGCTACACTTAAGACAACAATGTGTTAGGAGGACAGCAGTGGGGTGAAGCGCATTGCCGACAATTCCTGTAGGTGACCATCTGAAAAGTGTCCCACTGTGTTCTCTGTCCTTTCTTTTTCCAACACGTAGTGTATTTCTGTCAGAAGCTGCTTCTCAAATGTGGCATTTTCCTACCCGAGGCTTTACAGTTTCCCCCTAGGAAAAGAGGCTCGGAAAGATAAGGTGCAAGGCAGCAGTGGTGCTGGGCAGTGTTTATTGGGCCAGGACCCTACACAGCCCCTGGGGGACATGGTTGCTGCTGCCCTGAATGCCAGGGCAGGGGGGGAAGAAAAAGCCTCCTAGAAAATTTCTACAATAAATAGATAAATCAGCATGGTTTGGACTGCTGTGGGCAGAGCTGCTGGCCCAGCACGGCCTGCAAAGCCAAAGCACGTGGCCAGGAGGGGCTGGGTGCACCAGGAGGCCACCCGGCTGCAGGATGCTCTGCCAGCACTCCTCACCCCTGCTCTCTTGGCTGCTTTCTCTTCCCCAATAGAACAAGGCTTGTGCAATGAGTGTCTGTATTCCCTGCTGCTTCTGATCCTGCTGGATGATTTTTGGAGGTGGCTGAGCACCAGGATGCCCCTGGGCACTGGTGGTGTGGGATGCAGTGGGTTTGTGGGCTCTCTGCACGGGAGCTCTGCAGGGCTGGAGCCTAGAGACAGGATTCCCGACCTTGCAAGAGGGGATCGCTGCTCACAACCAGGGAAAGTGTGTAGTTTTAGGCTGACCCTCCTGGACAGCCCCTACCACACACCCTGCCTTGGCCCTCCTTGCTCCAAATTTGGGGTGGCCAGGCTGGGTGCTCCCAGAGGACGCTGGAGCAGCTCAGGGCTGGGTGCTGCAGTGACCCAACTGAAACCCACCGAGGCTGGGGAGCAGTTTCTGACTCCCCCAGGCTCTGGAGAAGCACTTCATTTCTCTCTGCTGCGCTTGAGTGCAGGGGGGTGTCGCTGGAGGTGCCAGCAGAGACATAGGCGGCCCCTCCCTCACCCGGGGCCGTCCAAGGCCGGTGCTCCCGGCCGTGCCGGGGGGGAGCTGGGGAGCAAAGCAAGATGCCAAGGCACACGTGGGGGGGTCAGAGGGGCTGAGCCGGTGCATTCCCAGCCCCGGCTCACGCCTGGGAGAGGCGCACGGGGTAGGTGACCATGTTGAAGCTGTCCCAGGCAAAGAGCTGCCGCTCGGAGGGGTTGTAGTCCAGCATGCTGAGGTAGCGGAAGCGGTTCTCGAAGGGAATGCTCAGGGCCCGGCTGGCGCCTGTGGCCGTGTCGTAGGCGAAGTTGATGGTGGCATTGGGGGCCGAGTAGCTGCTGACGGTGTAGAGGGTGCCGCAGATGAGGAAGGAGTTGGCCACCCCTCGCTTGCGGATATTGGTCTCCCAGGTCCGGCGGATCTCCAGCGTCTCGGGGTCCAGCTTGGAGAGGACGATGGCCCCCCGGGCGCTCTCGGTGCTATAGATCACCCAGAGCCCCGTCTCATCCACCGCCAGGTCGATGTCGGTGTAGCCGCCCCAGGCGTAGGGGTACTGCCCGTGGTAGCCGGCGCCGGGGATCTCCCTCTCGGCCGTCACGGTCTCTCCCCGCAGGTCGTAGCGGGCCACGGAGCGGGAATGGCGGGGCTGGAAGAAGAGCCCGCCGCGGTAGACGACGGCCCCCGTGCTCTCCAGGGGCCGCGGCAGGATGTGCACCTTGGCGGGGTAGCCCCGGGCCAGCTGCTCGGCCTCCTCGTACTGGAAGAGCTGCCGCACCTCGGTGCCCACCGCGTCCACGCGCCACGTGGTGTCCCGCGTGAAGGGGGGCACGGGCTCGGGATCCTTCATCCACACGCCGTACTTCCCGGCGATGGAGTCCGCCCGGCCGAACACCACGGGCTCTCCCACCCACACGAGCTCTCCGCAGCCTGCTCAGGACAGGACAGGAGAGAGGGGGGTCACCGCGGGCCCCTCGGCGGGGCCGGGCGGTACCTGGAGCTGGGGAGGGTGGTACCTGAGTCCGCGCCCCCCGGGCGGCCGAGCGCCGTCTCCTCCAGCAGCCGGGACACGGGAACCTCCGTCCGCTCCGACTGCAGCTCCTGGAAGGTGAGAGGCTGCGGATCCCAGCGGGGCGCTGCAGTTTGATCAGCACAGTGTGAGCAGGGGCTGGGCCAGCCCCCGGCACTGCCCTGCCTGCCCCCGCCGCCCTCGGGGCTCCCTGCCCGACCGCTGCGTCCCGGAATGCCGGTGTCTCCTCGGTCAGGAGCCTGGTGCCCCATCCCACTGCAGCAGGGCACATCTGTTGCCCCCCCTCCCCTCCAAGAGTATGGTTTAATTTTCCTTCGGGGAAACTCCTAAACCTCCCTAGACTAGCGCCCCGTGTCCCCGCTCTGCTCCAGAGCAGGTGATGGGATGAGGAAGGCTCTGGCTGACAGCGCTGCTTTAGTGAGGGGGTGTGGTGCGATGGCTGCGACCCCCCGTAGGGCTGAGCCCAGCGGGGTCCCCAAGAGTGGGGAGCAGCAGTGGGTGCCCCACATGGGGGGCTGCAAAGGGACTTGCCCAGCGTCCTGGGGAGGCCCTGGAGCAGAGCCAGTGGCACGGCCGCCCGGGGGTCCCGGCCCCGGCACTTACCCTTGCCGGGGGCGCGCAGGGTGTCACGGCCGGGCCCGTCCCTGCCGGGGGGGCAGCGGGCGGCCCTCAGCCGGGTGATCTCCTGGGCGCTGCTCTCCAGCCGCCTGCCCAGCTCCTCTTTCTCCCGCTCCAGCCGCCCCTTCTCCTCCTCCAGCCGGGCTTTGGCCCGCAGCAGTTCCCCGTACGCAGTCTCCAGCCGGGCGGCCGCGGCCATTTGCTGGGGCTCCCGAGCCCCCCCGGGCCCCGAGCCCCCCATTGCCCGCTCCCGGCTCTCCAGCCGGCTCAGGCGGGCGGCGAGCGCGGCCAGCTCTGCCCGCAGCTCGGGCACGCCGCCGGCAGCCTCAGGGCAGGCGGCCTCGACGGGGCTGGCCACCGTGAAGGAGTAGGTGCAGTGCCCGGCGCCGTCGGGGGCGCGGTGCAGGAACGCGGTGTCGGCGCGGCCGCGCAGGGCCAGGGACCCCCAGATCAGCATCCACAACCCCAGCATGGCCCCGCCACTCTGCGCTCGCCGGGCACCGCCGCCCGCATTTATAGGGGAGAGGGTCGGGGCGGCGGGGGGCGGGCGAGCAGGAACCTTCCAGATGCCTGCGGCGGCACCGGCACTGCCCCCGCCGCCTACCCGGGGCGGCTGGCCGGGCTCGGCGGCCGCGGGGCCGTGTGCCAGGGGTGACGGCGGGGGCGAGGCGGGCGGACCTGCCCCCGCCGCGGGCGTGGAGGATTCGCCGGGCCCGGATCCGAAGCCCGCGGGGGCCGCGCGGGGATGGGAACGGGAACGGGGCCGAAGGAGCCGGGAACGGCCCCGCCCCCTTCGCTCACGACCCCGCCCCCTCCCGGCGCGGCCCCGCCTCGTTCCAGCAAGCTCCGCCCCGGAGCGCGGGCCCCTGCAGACCCCGCCTCTTTCCCTCGCCCCGCCCATACATCAGTAACTCGGCGCTCGGTGCGGCCGGTGGAGTGTCGAGCTGCTCGATGTGACAGTGGATCCTCCGCCGCACCGGCCATTTCCCGCCGGCCCGGCGCCGAGCGCGGTCACCGCTCTGCTCCTGTCCTGTCCTGTCCTGTCTTGTCTTGTCTTGTCTTGTCCTGTCTGCTTCCCTCCTGTCCTGTCTGCTTCCCTCCTGTCCCTTCCTCTCCACCCCTCCGGGCCCGCCGGTGCGGGTGACCCGGCCGCTCCCCGCTGCCTCCTCCAAGCATCCCCAGCCCGGCCATGCCGCCCAAATTCAAGCGGCACCTGAACGACGACGAGGTGACGGGCTCGGTGAAGAGCGAGCGGGTGAGTGCCGCCCCTGCGCGGTCGCGGCGGGCGGGTGCTGCCCGCGGGGTGCCCCGGTGCGGGTCCCTGGGCCGGGGTCCCTGTGCTGCCGCAGCCCTTCGGGGCCCGGAACGCTGTGACAGCGGCGTTCGGTCAGTGAGGGGCTGTGCGAGCTTCACAGCCGACCTGCGGGTTGTAAAATCAGCCGCTTCAGGGGGAAAGGCTGCCCTGAGAACCTGTTGTAGTTCCTTTGCTCCATGTCTATGGGTGTGAGACCCCGCTGTGCTCCGGTCTCTTGCCGCTCTGCAGGGCTTGGCATGGGCATGTCCTGGCTCTTGTGTCTCGCAGCTGGCCAGGGAACTCGTGTGAAGTCGCCCTGTGCTTTACAGCTGAGTTCTTCCCCTGGTGCCAAGGTCCTCTGACGTTTCAGGCAGTGGATACGGGTCACAGTGGTGCAGTTGCCTGTGTTAGACAAAGCGGGTTTAACCTGATGTGTTTGTCCTGGGGTCACACTGTGCTAAAACTCAGTTTAGACCGTGGTCTTAAGTGCTGCTGCAGCTCACAACAGCTGTCAGTGAGATGAGGATCCCGAGTTCCAAGTTGCTTAAGTTGATTGAGGAAATGTGGCAAGGATGGAAATGTAGGGGAGCTATGAAACAAGATCATCAGGCTTGCGGGTGTGGGCCTGAATTTGTGCACAGGGGAAGCAGCAGCTGTTGGTACCTCAAGGAACACTGCTGTGTCCCTGGGCCCATGCCTTCAGTGTGGCATTTCCCCCTATCGACTATTTTTGACCCTGAGCAGATGTTTCAGGGAGCCCTGAGCTCGGTTTGTAAACCCTGTGCTGCCCTGATAGGAGAAACAAATTCTAGTAAACGTCTTTTTCCGAACCTGTCAGGCTTCAGTGGGATTGCTCTTAAAAATCAGCCTTGGGACCATCTAGTGGGATCAGCAAATCTGAGCAGAGCAGAGCTGTCAGACCACTCTGCTTCCCTGCCCGGGGAGCCCAGTGTGTTTCCTTGTGCTTACACCTGCTCCTGTCGGATGGCTGGAGAAACCATGTCCTCCAAAGCCAGCGTGGATCTGACTTCCCGCATGGATGGGATGGTGCAAGGTGGCTGTGGGCGACACTGATGTGTTTGCTGGCAGGGCTGGGGACTGTCCCTTGAGCAGAGAGGGCCTTCCTGCAGGCAGAGGCTGCTGATTGCATCCTAAGAGCTGGAAATGTGTGTGACATGGTGGTTGCTTATTGTTTTTAATGTGTTTGCAGAGGAACCTGTTGGAGGAAGACTCAGATGAAGAGGAAGACTTTTTCTTGTGAGTTCCTGAACGGCTGCTGTAGGGAATGCAATGTCCTGCCTGCCTGCAGCTCTGGGACTGGGAATCTAAACCTTTGATTCCTTTGGGATGATCTCCCAGAGCCTTGGCATTGAGTATGAATTAAGTCTTAATAGGTGTGACCTTTTGTAAGGTGGGGTGTCCCACGTATCCTCAGACATGGGAGGGACTCATGGGAGCTATGAAAACAATCCTTCATCATTGGTTCTTTCTTGTGTATCTTTTGAGTCTCCTTTAAAAACATGTTTTCATTGTATCCTCCATCCTGACTGATCTTTTCTGCCTGCAGGAGGGGGCCTTCTGGACCCAGGTTTGGACCCAGGAATGACAAGATCAGGCAGTAAGTTGTTGTTCCTCAGTGTCACCTAGATAGTAATTTATTCTAGTGCTGTGAGCCCCTGCTGCTGTCTTACCGAAGTATTTCTGTGTGGTTCTTAGCAGGAACGTTCCTTGCACCTGCTTTCTTCTAATTGTTATGTCCTACCCTATGTGCCCACAGCTGAAGGAAATCTGAGATTTGATGCAAGGTGTCAAGAAGTTGAGTGCTGACCGAGACAAAGGGATAAGATTATATCACAGTAGTTTAGTGGAGTTTCTGAAGCCCTTGCTGGGTTGTGGTGGTGAGCTGTTCCATGCTTTTGTGAGGCTCTTTTTCTAGAGCCCTGAACTTTAGCCTTCACTAGCACAACTTTTTATTGTTTTGTGGCTTTTTTCCTTCATCCTGTAACATACTCCTCAACATTTCAGGAAAGCAGTTGGGCAGGAACACACCAGCGCTGTGTTTTTTGGGCAGCAGCTGGTCCTCTGGCCTCTTCCCCAGATAAAAACCTGATAGAGGTGACCTGGAGATGAGCAGTGACTCAGTGGAGTCAAGGCAGCTGGAAAACAGGAAACCATTACAGGAGGAGGATTAGGGCAAGAAGGAAGGAGTGAACACTCTGGATCCTCCTCCCACGGAGTCATTTCATGGATGATGCTTGTTCAGGGCTCCAGTTTTCCCTGCCCTTTCCTGTGAGGGATGTGGTGGTGGTACTTAATTAAAAGTGGGAGGATTCTCTCAGCCCCCTGGTTTGTGTTGCCCTGTTTCCTTTGCTGGTCTCTGTGGAGCCAGAACAGAGCTCTGTGTGGGGCCTTATGACTGGGCTGTTCAGACTGGGTCTTGTTTGCAGCCTGAGTGTGGCTCTTCGTGAGGGATGTTTTCCGTGCCAGGAAGATGCCAGTGCAGCTCTGGGATGACTCACTGCCAGTGTCAGCATCAGGCAGTGCCTGTCTGTGTGCCTGCTCGCCACGTTACCTGCAGGGGCAAAGGGCACTCGAGATACATGACAGGCAGTGGGAAGGTCACTGTGCCCTGAGTTTTCAGGGGTCTGTCTTCCCTCCTGCGTGTGAGGAGACTGTTGGTAGAGGTGAACTGATCCTTGGAATAAGCCAGAGTGGATAAAGCCTGCCTTCTAGGGCACAGCCAGGCTGATTGGGAGTAAATGAAGTAGAGAGGGGATAATGTTTGCCCCTTCATCCTCCTCTGCTGGACAGGAATTGCAGTATCTTCTGCCTTCCCTGTGTGGTGGGGAAAAACAGGAGCTCTTCTCTTCCCACGATCTTGGCCTGGCAGGCAGGAGTGTGGGCTTAGGTAGAGGATGGCACTGCACCTGTGGAGGGGAAGGAAAATGAAAGAGGTGTTCAGCCAGGAACTGGTGAGTCCAGAGGTGTGATGTGACTCATGCCCAACACCCCTGAGATTTGCCCGCTGCCAGAGATTGCTTGGATAGTGGACTTGGAATGAAATATGTCCCTTGGGGTAGCAAGTGGCTACATCTATCCAGTATCTAGAACATCTGTTATAGAACAGTGTTTATTTTCTGCTCTCATCAACGCTGACTGCTTTGTTTAATAAGCACTTGTGCCATGCACTCATCACTTCTCGTCGTGGAGCTCATTATTACGTTTCTGATCTTGTGCCGATGAATCGATGCCTGGTCTCTTAGTGAGCCAGTTTGCTCTGGTTTCAACAGAGAAAGGGTTGGGCAGCTGCTGAAAAACTAAAAGCAAAAGACATTTTAAGGAGGAATTTGAGCATTTGGAGAGCTGAGGCATAGCTGGGCAAAGCTAGAGAGGCTGTAGCTATACAGGGCTGGAGGATCGAGGTGTGAAGACAGGCATAAAAGGAAACTGGATGGAGGACTGGGGAGAGGAAAAAGTGATGGGAGCAAAGGTGTGGAACATGTTGAATGTGAGGGTCAAGGCTGGAAATTTTTTCTGGTTGTCCTTGGCAGTAAGTAAAGGGTCTTGAGTCAGGGTGGAGTTTGGTGGCAGAGACCCTCGAGGCTGGCTCAGCTGTGGGGAACACTGCAAACTTCGGAGGGGAAAGTGGTGAATTACAGTCGGCAACAGTGGCAGGAGGAAGTGTCAGTCCCCTCCATGCTGTGTTTCGTCCTGATGTGTCTGGAAACTGCTTGGTTAGGGTGGACTCTCCTCTGGTAACTGAGAGGCCACATGGGGTCCCTTGGGCTCCCTCTGAGACCTCCCATCCCGGGGTGGGCCAGAACTGAAAGGCAGCTTTTAATAGGCTTTTATCCTTTTCCCCAAAGTTACCAAGAACAGGTTAGGGAAAGCTGAACTCCTTTCTTTGCCTTTCCTGAATATGTGTGTGTGAGAGCTCTTAGTGCCTTTTCGGGGAAAGTGGGGTGTTCATCTTCCACCTGCATTTCTTTTATTTAGAACAATGGCATCTAATCACAGGCCATCTTTTCAAAAGCACCACTAAAATCACCCCCTTTTCTGCACTGCTTGACTTGTTTCATTGCTGATGTTTGTGCTCTCTGGAGACTGTGCTGTTGGATTCAGGTTCGTGCTGGTGCTGAGGCTCAGCACACTGCTGAGGTATCCCAGGAGCCAGGTCTTGGTCCCTGTGATTCCCTCGTTGTTCTGCTGGGGGTGACCAGCATCCCTGGCCCCAGGGCTCGGCTTTGGTGGCTCTGTCTTTCTGCAGGCCCTGAGGAAGGGGAGAGTTTGAGGAATGGTTTGAAGGCAAGAGTTGACAGCAGCTTCCCAGGGCCTGGCTGTTCATGGGAGGTGGCTGGTTGTGCAGTGGGCCCCAGCCACAGTGCAGGCTTTCATCTGGAGGTGATACCGAGACCATGTTTACGGGAATCATTGTTGGAAATAATCCTTTCCATGACTGAAAGGTTTCAGGGAAGCACAGACTGCTGTTTTCCTCACAGCTGGGACGAAGCAGCAACTTAAAGCCAGGGATTTGTGGAATAGTTGTGCTGATAGATACACTGTTGCTGAGCTGTGGCTCAGGCAGTTCTGTGCAGTGCTGGCCTCCTGCCTTTGTACCTTCCATCTGCCCTGGCTCTCCATCCTGTTCCCTCTTCCCTGGTTTACTGCCACAACGAGGGGCGTTTGGGAGTCATCTGCACCAAAACACAGCACTATTAATATGGCTGGGGTGGAAAAGAGAAGTGTGTCATGCTGGCTGTAAACAGCCAGCCTGGAGACAAGCAGCAGCCTTGGGCAGCACATCCTGTGGCGTGTGTGCATGGCCTGTTCATGGCATCTGGAGAATGCAGTAGCACTGTTGTCAGCCCAACACCCTGACCAGCCCAGGGAGTTTTCAGTACCTAACCAGTATGGCCAAAATGGAAAGGCATATTCCTCCCACTCTGGTACAGCAAAGCACAAGAAAAGAGGAGTCTAAACCAAGCTGAGCACTGTTGGGTCTCCTGTTGCTCTTACAGTGTATGCCTGCTGTCCTTGTTAAAAGCATCATGTTTGCAGTTACTAGTAAGAAGGAGGGTCGTGGGAGACATTTTATGCTTTTGTCTTTCTCCCTTTCCTGGCAGGTATTTATTCTATTTTATTTCTCTTGGAAATCTGCCTGGAGTGAAGCACATGAAGTGTATGTGTCAAAAGCCAGTAGCTCCCCGACAGGAAATACGTTTTGAATTAGAGGATTCATTCCCTCTTGCCAAATAAAGCAAGAAAATATTTTCTTCTTGATTCTTCTTGAGTTTCCAGCCTCAAGCATGCCAAACTAGTGGGAATTTTTGAATTTGTTCTGAAACTGCTGGGCTCATGCATAGGCTGGGCATCTTTCAGCTCCCTCCTGTTTTTTGTTTTGTTGTTTTTTCCCAGGGTTCTCTTTTACATCAGATGCCAAAAGGTATTGATTGGGCTGCTCAAATGCATCTGTGTTCCATGGAAGGTCAAGGCCTCAACATTTGTGGGAGTTTATAAGCCTTGATTTCTCTGTGCCTCCATTCTCCACTTGTGAAATGTTTTGTTCTCTTGGGGACAGTTAACAGCCAGCCTAGGGTTTGGGAAGGTAGCAAAGGCTCTTGGTGTTTTGCCAGCAGCTCAAGTGAGAAGGGAGGGGATGCTGAGGTGCAGCTTGGGCAGTAAGGGTCTGTGCTCCATAGGTCTCTCCCAAATGCTGGTATGCACCACAGCAGCTTGAAGTCAGGTACCTGCCCGCTTTGCCTCCAACACTTTGGGGTGTCCCAGGACTGCAACAGCATCTCTCCAGGCTCTGACCTGTACTGGCAAGGATACAGGTGGTGTTGCATTGCTCTGCACATTCCTGGATGCACCATGCCCTTGTGTGCTCCCACTTGTTAGTTGTACCAGGATAACTTGGTTACAAATCCATTGTAGGAGGAAATCTCTACTTTCAAGCCAGTAAATGATTTTAGAAACATTTACATACTGCAAATGTAGACTTCTGCCTGTGAAGCCGATGTTTAAGGCGTCAGAGGTTTTGCCAAGTTGGCTCATCTGGGGTAGCAGATGTTTCTGCTTTTCCTCTCTCACCCCAAGCTGGAGCTGCATTGCTGGTGACTCCGAGCTGGGACTTGTGCCGAGGTAAGGAAACCCCTTTGCAGAACATGCCTCCTCCTCACCTGCTGTCCCAAGGATGGGCCAGGGGGCTGCGTGGGTTGGACCCTTTGCTCCACAGGGCACTGCCACGTGTTTCCCAGACAGCATCAGGCTGTTTCCTCAGTGCTACCTCCCTTGTTTTCCCAACAGTGGCAGCTGTGCCACTCACCTCATACCTTGTAAAACAAATTGTGGCTCAGAACAGGCTCCTGGGCAGGTTCCTACTGAGAGGTGTTTAGGGATTATCCCTGCCTTTCCCCTCCAGATAAGGAACTCCATCACTGTGGAAGGCGGGAACTGCTGCCGCACGGTGTAGGTGGGTTCAAGAGAGATGCTGCTCCCACGGACTCTGTGATGCAGCACGGGGGAGGCAGGTTCCTTTCTGGTGCTGTCCTAAACAAAGCAAAATTTTATGTGTGCTGCTGGAGTCCAGCATGTGCCATATGAAGCCTGTTGACTCAGAAACTGGCTTCAGAGGGGTTGCCTGGGCCGCAGTGCAGTGGTGCTACAGAGCTCAACCTGAAAGGCTAAGATGGGAAACCCCATCATATTCAAAAATCTGGAGCTCTTCCTAGAGCTTTCTGGGGAGAAAACAGCCTTTTAATGATTTTTCTTGCCTGCTTTTGGAATAGTAGATAAATGTGAGCAAGGCATGTGCTTTTCCATTGTGACCACTATTGCTTGTTGCAGCTGCTCCTCGTCGGCACAAGTGTGTGCTCAGTAAGAGGCAGGCAGCTGGGAGGGAGGCAGGAGAAATGGGTCAGTGTGAACCTATGCCTCTAATTAATTAATTAGAAGCATGGGGGGTAGGACAGAGCTCTGTTCCTGGTTCTGCAGTGCCCCATTGACTGGCCTTGAGCCAGTTGCTCCCAGTCTGTCTTGGCCGCAGTTTCCCAGGCCGTGGGGGAGGATCTGCTGTTCCTGTCATTCCAAGTGCTCTGAGCTTAGGGTAAGGTGGAGAGCTGCTGAAGTGGCCCATTTGTGCTGCATATTTAGGTACTGCTGGATGCATTTCAATATGTTTAAAGTGCTTAAATGTTTTTAATCGAGGCAACCTAAGCCATCAAACCTAAGATTGCTGCAGAGTGAGTGGCCTGGAGCTATTTCTGTTTTGTTGCCCTGTGTGTAGTCTTGCCTCCAAGATCCTGCTGTTGCCATTGACTTTTTGGGAACAGTATGTCTCAAACAATGTCTTGTATCCCCAGGGCCTCAAGGAAATTCTTATTTCTATCTCCAGGAAAATAAAAGTGTATTAGCTCCAAAATACAAACCAGAATGTAGCAGTATTTTTCCACCAGGAAAATTCTTCTCTCTTGCCAGTGTGTTTTTTTTTTTTCCTGGAGTGAATAAATACATTTTTAATAACCCTCCGGGTGTGATTTAGGCTACTGTTCACTGAAGTGACTACCCACAGAGTTGCATAACCTGTGAGAAGATGAATTATAGCTTGGTTTAGTTCATGTCAGCCATTCCTTTGCTGTCCACTTGATGCCCCTGGCAGAGTGGGTTTAATTTAGTAATTCAGTTTCCAGAGAGGGGAGTGCACCTTGATTTGATTTCACCCCAAGTTATTGAGCAAAGGTGTGATGTGAGGTTCTATGAAATGTAGAAAGATAAGGTGTGGGTTTTATACCTTTTTCCCCCTTTGTGAGCTCTTCTGCAGCAGAGGTCCCACCAACAGCAATTAGTGCCTTTTCCTACTGTGTGTTACAGAGGGTTACCCCTTCTGCTGACTTCCCAGTGTTCTCTCTGAGCCCCTTGTGTTCCCTGGCCCTTCCTGAGATTGCTGGAGACTCACCCCGTGCCTCTGGCTTCCTCAGCATCCCATTGACCTCTCTCCACTGTTGTGCCCTTTGGTTTTTGTGGGTGAGCTCTGGGCAGCTCTGAGCTGTGATGCTCAGCCTGTGGTGCTCAGTTCTGCCCCTCTGTGCTCTGCCCCAGTGTCCAGAACCAGGTGGACGAGGTCATCGATGTCATGCAGGAGAACATCACAAAGGTGATCGAGAGAGGCGAGCGGCTGGATGACCTGCAGGATAAATCAGGTGCGATCCCAAATGCAGCTCTGCTGGCCTGTTCCCCACCTCTTTGCCTGGTTGCTGGGCCAGGTTACCTGGTTCAGTTCAGAAAGCACCTAATGACAGACCTGGGCTTGTATTGCTGTCCCTTTTGGGAGTGGTGTTTCCCAGCCTTGGGCTGCAGATCAGACTTTCTGCCAACATTCTTTCCACCTTCACCTTCTGCTGCTCTGTGCAGAGGTGTTAGTTTGGGGGCATCTGTGTGCTGTGATCTAGTAGGTCCTTCAAGCAAAGGCAGATTGGTCTGTCTCCTGGCACTGTCCACTGGCTTGCAGAGCAAATTCAGTATGACTTGTCTTGTGCGTGCTCTGGTGAAGGGCGTCACACTGGCACCTGCTGGGGCTTTGGTGAATCACGCTGTGGTTGGGTCTCTTCCCCTAACACCGAGTTTATTGCATAAAACTCAGTGGAGTTAGAAGGAGTGGGTGCTCTGACTGTGTGTGCACCACTGAACCACCTCTTTCCTTTCCTTTACTAGACAGTTTATCAGACAATGCAGCAGCTTTTAGCAAAAGAGCCAAGCACCTCCGGAGACAGATGTGGTGGCGAGACTGTAAGGTGAGCAAGAACGGGAACAGGCAGGGGTGGGCTTGTGGAAGGGTGGTTACCTGCCTGCTCCTGGGAGGGGATGGAGAACCTCTGCTTTTCAGCTGAAAAGATGCTGGAAGGCAAAAGCACCCTTTTGAGTCAAAGCAGGTGCCCCAGGCACCCTGTGTAACATGCCTGTGTGCTCCCCTTGCAGATGAAGGCGATCATAGCGATGGTGGTGGTTATTCTCCTGCTCGTGATCATTGGTGAGTAGCTCCAGATCACCCCAGCCATGTCTGAAATATTCATGGTGCTCCATGCTGGGCCACCATGGTGCTCTTGTCCCTGGGGGAGTGCACCTGAGCCGCTCCATCAGGCCCCACTCTGCCTTAAGCCATCCTAAGTGGTGCCGTAGGCCACTCTGTGCCCCTTCTCTGCAAGGCTCAAACCGAGTCCTGCTGACTCTGACCAGAGAAAGCCAGCACTGCCCTGCCAACCTTGTATTGATCCAGGGTTGGCACTGACTGATGCCAAGGCTGGTGGGAGGAAATGGAAAAGTTTCAGACCAAAGCAATGTCTTCCAAAGGCATCTCCACATGTATCAGCCATCTTGCAATGAGCCTGCTGTCTACAAACACTCTTCCCCTAAGCTGCTTAATTTCCATTAAGTAATTGTTTTGGCTTTGCCATTGGTCCCTTCCTGGAGCTCCACAGAGCCGAGATGTCACTGGTTTTCCTACCAAACAGCTAATAATGACCAGAGTGTGTTTCTTCCAGCAGAAGTAATTCATCCCTCTGCAGAATGATGTGCTCCAGGGATCCAGGCAGCCCTTCTGAGCCACTGGGTCTGGAGAGTTTTCCTCCCACTGAAGTGGCCGGGGGCAGCTCTGCAACTGTCCATGTTCCTTCAGCAAAGCCCTCACGGCCTGTTGTCCTTCTGACACACAGCCTGCAGCAAGAGAGAGGCAGAGCTGGCAGCAGGGTGGAGAGAGAGAGACTGATGGAAAATCCCATCTGGTTTAATTTTGGGAAGCTGGAAGGAGATGAAGGTGGCAGGATATGTTGTCTAGTGTGTGTGCAGGCAGCAGATTGCTTTAGCTTGAGGTTGGGAACACACTTCTGCTCGCAGCTGCTCAGTGTTTGTCTCTACAGAAACAGGGAGGGGGCTCCCTGGCAGGGCCGGGTGTTGCACAGGACGGTGTGTGGTGAGAGCTTGTTCCTTTGTGTTTTCCAGTACCCATAGTCCTGAAGTACCGTTCCTGACGGGGCAGCTGGAGGCTTCGCTGGAGCAGCCTCTGGGATGTCCAAACTGCTGTGTAATTTAAGTGAGATATCTGTATATAGCTTTGAAGTTGTTTTTCTCCCGGGAGCAAGGAGCAGGAGGAGGTGGCAAGAGGCCAGTTCTAAAGGAGTGTTTTAGGAACTGCCAAACAGCCCTTGTCCGGTCGAGTACCTGTTCCTCCCGTCAGACTTATTTTTTATAACAGAAGATTCGGATCCCAAATCGCCTGTTTTGGGGAACTCTGGGTCTCTGGTTTGGAGCTGGCTACTTGCCACTACAATCTATCTGTATATATGGTTGAGTTGTAATATTAATAATAATACTGTTCAAGAAGCTCCCTGCTGTGGAAGGCAGAGGGGACTCTGTCCTTTAATCAGAGAAAAAGAGGGGATAAATGTCTGAAGAGAAACACACCAATATATTACAGGAAACTGGCTCTTCTGTGGAGAACTGCAAGGGTGTTGTTTCTCTTGTGTTAAAAAAAAAAAAAAAGGAGAAAAAAAAGAAATTCGGTTTCACGATCCAGAAGACTTTCTGGTCCTGCCATGGGAATGCACAAGCTCAGTGTTTTCAGTATTGCTGCTTACAGCTGTGACTAAAGACATTCCAGTAAACCTATTTTTGACTGTACATGTGGAGTTTCTGCACGTCTGATAAAGTTTTGGAGGACATTCAGGGCTCTCCACGGCCGGGAGTCCCTGGGAATGGGCCATTTCTGTGTTTTCTTAACCAAAAGCAAGAAGTGTGTGTAGAGCCCAGCAATAAGCACCATTATATACAGACACAGCAGGAGAAGAGCAACTCTCCTGAAACCAGTGCACAGGCAATGAGCTTACTTCATATTCAGAGCCCTTCCCTTGATGTTGTGATCCCAGTCCCAATGCCAGCCCATTTTGCTTCCTTGTGATCCAGTGGGATGGGGGTTGTTCTCAGACATGTGCTGGGATGCTTTGGGAGCTGTAGGGGTCCCTGTGCTGGGATAAAAAGGAGCTGAACTCCTCCATTCATGGGTGGGACTGTGGGGTTTTGGCTGTCTCCAGCCTTGGTCTCAGGTGTTGGTGGCATTTCTGTCAGCCCTTTATTTTTGGGACCCTTGTTCTTTCAAGCCCTGAGCCTGTGACTTTAGCTGAGCTAAGACCAAGCTCTCCTGGTTCTCTCTTTGCTCTTTTCTGATGAAAGAAGAGTTGTCCTGCTTAGCACATGTTTGAAATCATACTGGAGAGGGGAAATGGTGCCCCAGAGAATTCCCAGTGCCGTGTCCCGGCTCCCCTTCTGAACCTGCCCCCAGGACCTTGTACGCAGTTTCTACCTGAGTCGTGGTGCTGCCCCATGCAGGGAAGGGGATTAAGAGTGAGCACAGCAGGCTGGAGGGCTGGATGTGATTACAAGCTCTGTTTGCCCAGCTGGAATATAAACAGGGCTTTTCCCCTCTGTGAGCCCTGATCTCTCCAGGTGGGAACCAGAAAGCCAAGCTGGGTTTTTCCTCCTAAAGTATAGGCTGGTTTTAAGATCATGCACCCAGTGGAAGAGACAAAAATCATCCTGCTTGTGCCTTTGGCTACTCTCTGAGTGCAAGGGATCAAGAACGTGGATGAAGAAGGGACTGTGTCTGTCTCCAGGGGGCTGCAGATCTTGCTGAACTGTTGAGTACCATGTCCTGCCAACTGGGGAGTGAGTTAATTCACTCTTGCTGCTGGAGAGTCCTGCCAGTGCCTCTGCCTTTCTCTCTCGGCCTTTGCTGCTGCCACTGCCACCCATATCAGGACCTTGGTGCCTCAGGAGTGTGTGAGGACTTCAGATCCCTGCTGGCACCAGGTCTGGGCAAGAGAAAGGGTTTTGAAGTTCCTTGCTGAAGGCAAAGCATGGCTTTAATACTGGGCTGAGGGTCTTGGAAACTGGGTGCTGATGGGATGAAGTCTGGGCCAAGCCCACTCCAGGCAGCCAAGTGCAGGCAGCAGGCTCTTGCTCAGGGAAAGATGGAATTCCTCGACTCTTTGCTAGAGAGATTTTGCAGCATTCCCAGGAGGCTGGGGTGCAAACAGTTGTACCTGAGATGCAGGGCAGGGAAAGCTGCCACAACCAAGGCCATCATTGCACCTCCTTGAGTTGCCAGAACTGAGTTTTAGTTTCAAGTCACTCCATGAGTGACTTGTCCTTAGCACAGACCTTCCCAAGGGACCAGCTCTGGCTGGGAGAGGCAGCCCCAGCAGCAAACCAATGGTCCTGGTCAGAAGCTTCACAGTAACAGAACTTACTAAACAACTTTTATAGATTTTTTTTTTTTCCAAGGCTGGAAAGACCATTGGAAATGTCTGGTCTCAGAGTGGTACTGAGCAGTCCTCCTTGTGCTCCTCTGACACTGTGGTCTCTATATTGCAGCCTGTGCTGTCCCATGCTGGACTGGTGGCAGGGAGAACTGCAGTGAGCAGAGAGAGTTGTTGTTTCCAGCAGTGTCTGCAAGCTTGGGGGTTGGTTTTCACTTGGAAGACGTTATGAAGGAGATTCTACAACAAAAACAACTCCTTCACCCAAGCGTCGGGTCTGTTTTATCCATTCCCTCATAGTGCAGAAGGCAGACCGTCAGCTGCTGTTTTCCACATGATTGCTTTTGTACAGGGAATGGCATCTTCTGGCTGTAGCTGTGCATTCCTCCTCCCGGGCTTGCAGGTGTGACCTGTGTGGTGAGACCCTGGGCTGCCCATGCCTGAGGGCAGGGGGGCTGCAGGGATGTGACACAGGTGGGGAGAGATCTCCTGTCTCTGGCAGCTGGGCAGCCCAGGGGGAAAGAAGTCCCTCCTGTGGAGTCCCCTTGCAAAACAGGGGCTTTTGGGGGGGGGTGGTGGTGGTGAGGAGGGGCCTGGGTACCGCGGTGGGAGAGCTCGCAGGACCCGGCTGCTGCTTGCCAGGGCACTGCTCCCCACCAGTGCTGGACTGCACTGACCTGTCCTCTGGGGCTCCATACTGGCCCCACGGACACCTCTCGCCTCCCCAGTCCAGGTGGCGCTGCAGTTACCAGAGATGCAGGGCAGAGAAAGCTGCCTCAGCCAAAGCCATCACTGCACTGCCATGAGGTGCCAGTGTCGGGTGTGGTTTGAGGCTCGAGTCACTCCGTACTGAGGTTGTCCTGAGCACAGACCTTCCCAAGGGACCCGCTCTGGCTGTGAGAGGCACCACCAGCAGCAAACGCAAGAGTGACGGAACTTGATCGCTCCGACACACGAAACCAGATGTCAGCGCAGAGACGCGCCAGAGGTCGTGGGGGTGAACAGCAGCAGCGCTTGGCGCACAACGCACTGCCCGATTCCTCCAACGAACATGTGGTTCTACTTCAGGGAAAACAGGCACGGGGATCCTCCGACCGCGGCTGCCAAACGCCGGGGCTGTAAACAAGGACCAGGACCTTGAGGGGGAAGGTCGCCATGGCGACCCGCTACGCCCTCCGCGCGCCTCTCGCGAGACCCTCCGGCCCGACCCCGTGCCCGCCCTCGGAGGGCTGGCAGTTCCCGCCTCGCACAGGTGAGCGCCGTTCCCATTGGCTGAGCGCTGCGGGGGCGCGGGGCAAACGCCTTTCCCATTGGCTGGGCGCTGAGGGGCGCGGCGCGGCCGCGGGCGCTGATTGGCGGCCGGGCGCGCGCGGCAGCCGCGCGCGGGGTCAGCATGGCGGCGCCCGCCCGGCGGAGCGTCGTGTTCGTGACCGGCAACGCCAAGAAGCTGGAGGAGGTGCGGGGGCAGCGGGACTGGGGCTGCGGGCGGGTTCACCTCTCTTCTCCCTCCCTGATCTTTCACTTCTCCCTCTGCAGGTCACTCAGATCCTCGGGGACTCCTCTCCCTACACGCTGGTGGCGAAGAAGATTGACCGTGAGTTGTTGGCGGGGCCGGGCGGGACGCGGAGGTTCGTCTCGTCCCGGCCGTCTCCTCATCTCCGATCCCTGTGTCCGCAGTGCCCGAGTACCAGGGGGAGCCAGACGAGATCTCCGTGCAGAAGTGCCGTGAAGCCGCCCGGCAGGTCGCTCCTTTGCTCTCTCCCTTTTCCCGGAGGGACTCCAGACAGGGACGCTGGGGCATCCAAACCTGCCCCGAGGGAAGCCAAAGGCATATCCAGCCTCGCCTGGCCTGGCCTGACCGCACTCCCATCGCCCCGGTTTGGGCCGGGTGATGGTGAATTCTCGCTGGTGACACGGTGTTTTGGCAGCCCCGCTGCGGCTCCTCTGGTCTCCTGTGTCCCTGGAGCAGCAGGAGGACATGGCAGCTCCTTCAGTCCAGGCCCTATGGCTGCAGGACACAACATTTGCTGTCAGCTTGAGCTCCCAGAGCTATCTTTGGGATGGCTGTCTTAAAAGAACCACGTGAGAGCTGGGACTCCAGAGAAATGCAGGCTTGCCTCCAGGATACGGGCTTTCCCTTTCCTTGTCCTGCCATTCCCATCCCTCAGGAGGGCAGGGGGTGTTCACTTCAGCTTGTTTTTTTTCCCTACTGTTCCTCAGCCACTCTGGCCTGCCTGGGGAGAGCTTGGGTTGGATTGTGTCTGTCTGGTGTGTGTTGCCTTTAAGGTCAAAGTTGCATTTGAGGCCAAGTGGAAATGTGAGGATAGGACAGAGCAAGGAAATAGGTTTGGAAGCAGTGACTTTCCTCTAGGGCTAATGTTTCCTCCTCTGGGGCTTTTGCTGTAGGTTCAGGGACCTGTTATAGTAGAGGACACCTGCTTGTGCTTCAATGCCCTGGGGGGCCTTCCAGGACCCTACATGTAAGTAGGAGGGAAGTTGCTTTCTCTTTTGTGTGCCAGAGTTAGGAGCACAGGCTGGCAGGGTGGGCTCAGTGGAGGATTCTCCGTGTGCCAGGAGCAGTAGGGTCAGGGAGGTGATTCCTGGTCTGGGTCCTGACACAGGGGCTGGGCTTAACTCCTTGAGCCCTGCTCTAAGTCACGGAGCGGGATGAGACAGACACACCTGGATTGTTGGCTCTGGCTCCCAACCTATGCCTCTTACACTGGCAGTGAGCTTGGGAACCTGTCCACACAGTGGGGTCTGTGTAATGAAGGCAGCAAGCCTTTCAGCAGGATTCTGTGATGAGTGTCTGTAGGTTCTCATAGGAACTGCTTAAATCCAGCAGATAAAAAAATGATTGCATTACAGTGGAACTTCTGCAATGAAATACTGCCTCATCTCCTGGAATTAACTGTTTGTGTGATTAATTCTTCCAAACTATCTCTGCTGTGCTAAGCAAACATAAAAGCTTTAGGTGATAGAATAGAATCATACAATATCCTCAGTTGGAAGGACCCACAAGGATCCTCAAGTCCAACTCCTGGCCCTGCCCAGGACAACTCCAGGAATCCCACCATGTGTCTGAGAGCCTTGTTCAAACACTTCTTGAACTCTGGCAGGCTTGAGGCTGTGACCAAGTCAGCACTACAGCTGGGTGTAAAATGTGAACAATTTATGTTGAGAAATGTTTTTGGCATGGCTCAGGAGTGAGCACTGGGTTACCTGTATTTCTGAGAGATAATAGCAAAAATTAATCTTCCCTCTCTCCTTCTTCTTCAGAAAATGGTTCCTGGAGAAACTCAAGCCAGAAGGTACTGCTCTTGTGTTACTGCTCTGCCTGTAACTTGCTCCTTTTCCCCTGAAGTG